TGCTGTATCCGAGCCAGCAGTGTGACCTCGCCGTATGGGCTCCGGGGGGGGGGGTTCACACCAGCTTTTTGCCGTGCCATGATCTATAACCAAACCGCGATTTTCTGGTCGCAAAAGATTTCTAAATCTGGCTCAGGGACGGGGGGCTAATGACTCGATCATTGCGTGTGGCGTCAGCAGCACGGTTCGGCTTCTGCAGTAGCACGGCTCCTCTTCGGTGAGGGGACTGCCGATGATTAAACAATGGCCACAACCATGACCATACCACGGTCTCACGGCGCTAACCCTACCCTACATGCAGTCGTCATTGGCCTACAGGTGAACTTTACTCTCCAGCCGACTCAAACCCTGACCTTGACCCGAACTCTGCAGCTGACTTTTATACTCGCGCGTGAAGGATCAGTGCCTCGGACCCTATAAGAAGGTGATGAGGCCCTTCACCCAAGCTCCCATGCAGATTTGTCCTATCCCTAACCGCACCCTGTAGGAGTGGCCATCCCCCGAGCAGAGTTGACAAATCACAAAACAAAAACAACACCTCCTCCTTCTCCACGTGAAAGAACCGACGACGCAGGAGTTCCCTGGCTTCGATCCGCAGAGCTTAAGGGCCACAACCCCTGAACCGCATCTGCTGCACGAACCACGGCAGCAGCCGCCATACTTTGCTGATGATCAAAACACTGAAAATTCTAAACTCGCTGGCAGTGTGCGGCGACTGTGGTCACCACCAAGCAGAGTGCCACGGAACTTGTAACGACCCAGTGCCCGAGTCACAAATACGAAGGAGGGGTGGTCAGAGCGATGCATCGCTCTTAGGCCTCGGCAAGGTAAGGTATTTTACCTTTTTTACCGGGTAAAAGGGTAAAGGTGTCGACATGCCAAGGGGTAAAAGGTAAAGGGTAGGGTAAACGTAGCTCGGAAGAATTACCCGGTAGGGTAAAGGTAGCGCGAAGTATTACCCGGTAAATACGGTGCCTTAAATTTCGACACTTCTCCAAGACGGAGGTTCTTTGCAAACCAACCGGCTACCATGAGAGATTCGTTCATGAGGCCATTCACATATACAAGCACAGAGACAATTTCAACCGAGAAGATGGATTCTGGCTTAGTAACCATTGGAAAGATGTTTTAAACCATTTCCGTTCTTAATTAATTGTATTTTACGATGACCTTCAGACCGCAGCTCTTTCGCTGGCATTGATTCTTAATACCTCTCACACCACCGTTAATGGTATGGTTTACAACATGGAGTATAACAGCGCATCGCAGCTGTCTCTCTCCCCCTCCTCTGTTCCGACCATGGATGAACTCGTCCGTCTGAACGGGGCCCGTAGCTATCCGTGTTGCTAAAGTTGAGGGTAAGAATCCACCCATTTTTTTTTCGCCATATAGCATTGTGATATATAAGGACTCATTGTTGGTAGCTTAGCTGATTGGAGAATATATAGAGTTTATTGATAACATTGAGGTAATTTATATTTTAGTTTTTTATTGGTTCACTATATAGTATTCATTATATATTGTAGTGTATACCCAGTTACTGTGAATAGCTCAGATGTGTAGGCCTTGACTTCAACATAGCCATTTCTGTGACCAGTCACAAGCTAATCACTCAGTTATTTCAATGCTAAATTCGCCTAGTTATTTCAATGCTAAATTCTCCTGTTTGATTTGTACTAGGTGCCTCTGTGAATGTGTATGTTCTGACTTTAACATAGCTATTTCTGTGACCAGTTACAAGCTAATCACTCAGCTATTTCAATGCTAAATTCTATGCTAATTCCTTTGTCAAGGGGTGCCTCTGAGGATGTGTATGCTTTAACTTTAACATAGCCATTTCTGTGACCAGTCACAAGATAATCACTCAGCCATTTCAATGCTAAATTCTATGCTAATTCCTTTGTCAAGGCGCTTTGTTTCTTCTCACAGCTTAAAGGTCGCGATCTGAGCGTGGCTTTTTCACTCCAGCGCTGTCCTCCAGACAGTCTCGTCCCTTCACCTGATGAAGGCCGCTTGTGTTGTGGCCGAAACGTCGTGAGAATATTATTGTTATTTTATTTTATCAATTTATTATTTTATTCTCATTCTACGTGACTTTACCGAAATAACCAAAGAAGATACGGTGCCTTGTTTACCGCTAAAAACTCCGTGGCGAAGTCCGTGGCCTCCATTTAATAAGTAAGAATTTTTAAAAAACTTTTTTAAAAACACGCTTTAATGAAATGTACCCTACTAGTAATGGCAGAACTCCACGGGTCCACGACTCCAGGAAGTGGCCCCGAAGCTTGCCACAACGTAAGGGGACCGTGGCCAATTACAGCCAACGTCAGTTGACAGCGGACAATTAGACCCAAGACGAAACATAACATAAAATAATGTTCAATAATATTTGTATTTTATTTTTAATGATATAATATAGTATTGTCATCAGTATGACATAAGTACAGTATACCAAGTTTGCAGTCGATACCACATTGGGAAGTGGGTTAAAATTGAGTTACAAGATTTGAGGATACAACAACAGAGTTAAAAGAAAGCGTGTAAATTGGAGTCATTGAGAGTATTCTACATGATTAAAGCGCTCTACCTAGCATTTACCTGTTATAAACCTTTTTCATGTGTAGTAGTACCCCAGTAATTACCCTGTAATCGGGCAATTTGTATGGGGTAAGGGTAAAAGGTAGGGTAAAGGTAGGCTCGTTGTTTTTACCTTTTACCTTACCTTGCCGAGGCCTATCGCTCTGCTACTCCTGACACTATCATCTGGTTCAACCGCCTCCGTGTAAAGTTACAGCTGCTGCTCTACATCAACCACATGGAGAGGGGGGAAGTGTCTGTCCCTCGATCCTCTACATGGCAGTAGTGGCTCGCCATAACGATATGCATGACAAATCAGACACTATACCCAACCCCATACACTAGCACAGAGCCAGGCTCCTCCCCGACGCCCACGGGAAGTGGGCGTCGGAGATTAGCCACACTCTGGCTCCGTCTGTCCCATCTGCCCGGGATAGCGTGTTACCCCCTCGCACGTGTGGGGTTTCTCCTGGCACTACGGTTTCTCCACGCTTGTATGAACATTCATAAATGGTCTAAATCGTCAAATTATAATGAGCAATAAACTTGGCTTGAACGAAACTTTTTTTTTTCATTTCACCTGGCAAGGCCCACTGAGCTACGTTTCTTTTTTGGAAGCGACCTGGCCACAAATGAGAACTCAACGAAGCGGCTTACCATGTGGACTTTTAGAACAGCCAAATACTCTAAGCGCGCGTTTCTTACTGTGGAGGGAAAACCCGGAGAACCATCCGCACGAGAGAGAGAGAGTCACGCAAACTCCACATAGCCAGCAGCAGGCGTCAGGGTCCGGAGTCGAACCCACGGCCTCCTGCATCCGCGGCGAAGGAGTTAACATCTCACAGCCACCGCTCAATCAACACGAGAACGACTCAACACGCTCCGTGTCCACAACTGGCGACATCTTAGACAATGGCTCTCATTCATGGCGCGCAACGAGCCGTGAAACGTCGCCAATGATATTTATTTTTTATTTTTTAAATCAAGACCACACTTATTACGAATGGGTTGCGTTATTTCTCACGTGATAGGACCACACATCTTGTGCCTGCGGTTCACCGTCTGGCTCGACCTTGGTTCCTGTGCGTTTGTGGAATGCAATTCGCATCCATGGCGACGCTTCGTACAAAACTAGAAACGAGAATGAGCTTAGGCTGGCCCCAACCCTTGACCCTAATGCTGAAAATAGCCTGAAACCCCGAACGCTCACTGAGCAAAGACATCAAGCCATGGTCAATCGACTGCTGGATGAAGGTTTTCCCAATTAACCACCACCATCGCTCACCATCCTGCGACGCGAAAATCCGGGCTCGGCACCTGCACAGGAGGAGATTGAATCGCTCCATCTCCTGGGCGGATGCCCTCTCTGACGCGTCCCATTGCTTGGCTGCCACACGGCCATCACCACTGACTCTCGTCCATCAACGCCAACACTCAGCCCTCTATGTACCATCACAGGGCTAACAGTGCTACAGACACGGCTGCCTAAACCGGCAGGGTGGCGGCTTAGCCCATCATCGCTGCAGGGTCGATAAATTGAGGATCACTTTTTGGGGAAGACTAGCAGCGGTTGTCCCATAACATATTTCCCCCTGCCATAAGAATGTGGAATTACCACGATTGACTCAGGGCTGTCTGTAAACAAGATGTGAGCAAAAAACGTGAATCCCAATTAGATCGAACCTTTTAGATCTAACCTCATGCCTCCATTAACGCAGAAATGATCCCTATGCCAACTTTAACCACTTCACTCACACCTACCACCATTAACGACCCACTTCCCTCACTACTACCACCACCACCACCATTAACGAACGCCTTCCCTCACACCCATCATCATCATCACCGCACTCCCCTCACCCTCCCTGTTCGCCACCATCACAGGTGAGGCTGGTGATGTCATCAAATGTACCAGGTGATAAGTCACACCAACAACAATAATATATAACTCAAGAGACAGAGATAACACTACTACTGAGACACAGCGACACTACTATTGAGACATACTATTAGAGATACGTACTGTACCACTACTGAGACACCAACTACTGAGACTGGCACAGACACCATCATCAACATTGTCGTCATCAGATCACTAACACCATCGCCATCGTCACCAGTTGCAGGAAATCCCACATTTCTGTCCCATATCAAACGTCGTCTCCCCCGTGTCTCTCTATCCTCCTCTTGTCTCACACCGCGCGTCTGTCTCCCCGCGTCGAACACTGTCTCACGCGATTTCTCCCCCGTCTCTCCACCCCCCCCCCGTGTCCACCTGTGTCTCTCGCATTGTCTCGGCACGTCTCTCCTCGCCTACCTGTTTCTATCCCGCGTCTCACTCAAAATGCGCCTCCTCCCGTCTCCCTCTGTCTCTCCTGTGTCCCCGTGTCTCACTCTGTCCTGCGCGTCCCCGGGTCTCGCACCTCGGCAATAGAGGAGGAGGAGGATGAGGAGGTGGTGGGAGCCGATGAAGAGACGAAGGCGGGAGGCGCCATGGAGACACGAGCACCGCGTCCCCGCCATCGTTGTCCACACTGCGCAACGCGAGCAGCACAGAGACTCTCAACTCCACCCGACTCCACCCCCTCGCTTTCAACTCCACCCCCTGGCTCTCAACTCCACCCCCTGGCTCTCAACTCCACCCACAGTGTCTCAACTCCACCCACAGTGTCTCAACTCCACCCACAGTGTCTCAACTCCACCCACAGTGTCTCAACTCCACCCCCTGGCTCTCAACTCCACCCACGGTGTCTCAACTCCACCCCCTGGCTCTCAACTCCACCCACAGTGTCTCAACTCCACCCCCTGGCTCTCAACTCCACTCACAGTGTCTTAACTCCGCCCACAGTCCCAACTAAGCCCACAGTGACTAAACTCCACTCTCTGGATTTCAACTCCACCCACAGTGTCTCAACTCCGCCCACAGCGTCTCAACTCCGCCCACAGCGTCTCAACTCCGCCCAGTGTCTCAACTCCGCCCACAGTGTCTCAAATGAGCATAGTACTATATCAGGTGAGGTGTGTACAATCAGCACTATGGAAACAAAGGCGGCCAGGCGATAATGCGGTTAGCGCGCTGCGCTACGGACCCGGCGACCCAGGTTCGATTCCCGCTCACGGCAAACCCCAGTGACGATTATTTGAACCGGTCCTGGGCCTCCCCGAGGTCGACTCAGCCTCAAATGAGTACCTGGTGCGATGTGTAAACATCGCCACTAGGGAAATAAAGGCGACCGGGCGTGGTGTTGGCCACCCACCCCTTCGTGTGCCGTGGCCGCCTTCATAGGTGCTACTCGCTAACAGCACTTGCCCCAACAGTCTGTTAAGGCTATACGGGGGATCTTTGTCTTTGTATATATGTATGTCCCTCTATCTCTATATGTATCTTTGTCCACTATATGTCTCTATTATGCTCGTGTGTCTCTGTATATATCTCGGTGTGTGTCCCTGGGTATCTTTGTGTCTGCGTGGTAATGAAGCAGGTGGTCCTAGGCTCTGTCAGCTGCTCGGCTCTATCCTTCAGGGGCCACCACCACGCACGCTCAGCCTGTCACGGCGCCACTTTCACCACGCCTGACCCTGACCCCCACTCAATTCATTGCCCAGGCACATCAGTGGGAAGTTGCATTCAAGCGTGACCCGGGTCTCCCCTAAGTCGACCGAGCCTAAAACGAGCACCCAGTGGCAGTGTGAACATCACTGCAGAGACAACGCCTTGCCTGATTTAGACACGACTCTTTCTTTAATGGCTGAGGTGGCCGGGTTGCTCAGAGGTCAGGGTGCTGAGCCAATTGTTTTTGTATCTATAGAAAACTAATCTAATGAGTAGTTTTATTTAATGAGCAGCTTTCTCTCGCGTTGTTTACGCAAATTGCATCACAATCGCCGAAGCCAAGCTGGCAGGCTGCCACGCGGTGAGGCGACGCCAACTCATACTCTGCGGTTCCCGACATTTTTCGATGTGTTCAACCAAATGTTGTCACCAATGACTGCACGCAAAACAACCCATTACACTCAATTTGGTTCTGCACTTTGTTCGCTAAACTCCAGCTCCGACAATTAAAAATAGCGTTATGACTGTCGCGCAGCAAACATTCCTCACGGAGGAGGAGCGGGTGGGAAAGTGCTGCCCGCTATTTGTGTGTGGAGCAGAGCGTCACTTGACGAAGGGATCTCAGGGGTCGCTCTGCGATAGCCACTTCCGCGGGCCGTTCTTGAACCAAAGCGTTGCCATTCGCTCTGCGAGATTTCCCACTGGATTCGCGCTAATTAGATTAAATCGAACACCCGACGCAGTCCGTTTTTATTGTACCAGAGCGCGCGCTGTGTCGCAGCCCTCTTCGTCTTTTGCTGTTTCCCATGCGCAGAGCTCCGCGATTGTTCGTCGCTCTTTCACGGCACCGGAATATTTTGGCAGCTCGCCTGTTGCTGGAACGTCAACATTTTTGCCGTAAATAAAATGTCCACTTCTCTTCATTTGTACTCCGTGCCGAGCTGGCCATTATGAAACAGCGGTGAACTATTGTTGTATACACTCGTGTTTATCTTGGCTGCCCAGTGGAGTCTGTCGCCTACCGCCAAGTCACCCGCCTCGAGCGCGCCCCACCCCGTTGCATCTCGGGAGCTCAGCTAGGGTTGAGCCTCGTATTTGAACGGGAGACTACGAGGGTTATGCCACATGGCTGTGAGGTGGCCAGTAAATTTCAGCACAGCAGTTCACGGATTGATTAAGTGTGGATTTAATATATCTGTGCAGAGCCTTGGGTGTCAACCCTCGTATGCGTTGGGGTGTTCGCCGGATTCTCCAGTTTGATCACGGGCGGCTTGCCTGCTTTACAATCCACGTCTCAGCCGCCTCCTGTGAGGCTGGATCCGGTTGCCAGTTCTTTCTGGGAAAAAAAACCCCATCACATTAAATTTAGTTCTGCGATTAATTCGGCTCCGTTCCGGCTGAGAGAATGAAAACTAGTCTTTTGACTGCCACGCTCCCGAACATTAACTCAATGGCTAGGCGGGTGGGAAAGTGCTGCCACCTTCTGTGCACGTGTGCAGAATCTCAGAGGTAGCTCTGTGATATCCACTTCCGGGGGCCGTTCTCTAACATGAAGAGGCGGACTGCTCTGCGAGTTCCGAATAGATTCTTCAGAGTGAAATTGGAGTAGATTTACGTAACGGGGAGGGAAAGAGAATGACGGAGCATTGTGATGGTGAATGTAGCGCCTCGATTGGCTGGAGGGGGTCACACGAACCAATTAAGCCCATGCCAATCTCCATGGCAACATCAACAGAGGGGCGCAGTTGGATTCCATTAATTCCCACGCCATTGCGCGACGCCAAATCGCATCAAAGTGAGGCGAAGAGGGCTTAGGGTGGCACGTGGTCACGAGGTGAGTGGCTCAGGGGCAGCTGCCAGCAAGGATTATTGCTGATAATACGGTCAAATTGCAAATCAAACCACAGAACCGGCCATTCACCCATTGGATTAATCAGCAACGCCACATTCATCCAGAGCCCCCCGTTAAGCAACAGCCGACAGTGTTAACTTTAAGTGTGTTTGTATGTTGAACTTCTTTCGCACCACCGTACGTAGCCAATCGTGTGAATTGGAGGTGCGGGGGAACGACAACTAAACACAAAAAGCAGTTCTAAATAAATGAGTTTTCAATCACAAGTGACGTCCACTCCACTGCCCTCGCTGGGCAGGTGGGGCGCGACATCCGCCGACCGAATGATCGCCCCCCCCCCCCCCCCCCCCCCCCCGCGGTAGCGCTCTCTCTGAGGGACATGGCTAAACTCCTGGCTCACCACCGCACGGAGTTAACTCACACTCGCCCGTGTACACCACAGCCAACGCGAACGCAGGGCCACGACCGCGCTCGCACCTGCAGGCGATAATCTCCTAGCACGTGCGTTCACTCTCGCAGCGCATTTTCCCATGCAGTCGCTCCACACGCAAATCACCAACACCACACCGATACTTTGTGCTAACTTTAATTCGCGGCGCAAATACAAACAACCTGGGGGAATATTTTGCGAGAAGAGCCTAGCCTAACGCTGCCTAAGTGCCCAGTCACTTAAACGTCCTACCACGTACCTATAAGCTGTATTCACGGCATCGAATGGACGCTGTGAGAGTCGGAGGGAGAAGGACGAGAGAAAACTCTATCACTGCCTCGTAGCAGCACTCGCTGGCATCACACGGATGCTGCGAGCGGCTCGAGGAGGCAGGACGGCAGGGAGTGGTTCTTTGCGGCCCAGAGGTTGAAGACAAGAGACCGAAAATCGTCCCGGGCTACTCTTTTTATTCCCTTAATTTCAAAGGCTCGGGGTGACATTGTACCGCACGGCCAATCGTGCGCTTACCTGTGACGTCGCTCAATTGTACTTGCTCTTGCATGGCCTATTCCCCTAACTTCAAAGGCCCGGGATGGCAGTCCCGTGCGGCCAATCGGGCGCCTACCTGTGGTTACCGCCCTCTATTACCATGTCCTCCGTGGAGTTCCGCGGTGGCGGCGTCAGCCATCCCTCGTCACTCGTTGCTCATTGTCTGGAAGGGCGCCGGGTTGGCGAACACACTCTGCGAATGTGTATTCGGTATGAGGGTTGAGATGGGGGGCAGTGGCGCTGAGATTCTCCTGACCTCATGGTCTGCTCTTCTTGCTTAATATTCCACCCTCAGCCCCTCCCGATGTTGTGAATAACTCATTGCGGCTGGCCCAGTGAACCTTTTATTTTTGTGCCCATACAATTGTACACCAACCCATGGGCACCGCAATGTGATCTGTCCTGCGAGGGTCAGCCAATCTCCTGGCACCGGGAAACCGTGGGACTTTCCTCCTAGGGATCCTTGGGATGAAAACCCGTTGTGCTAGGCGATCCCCCGCCAGGACACTACGTGTGCGCGCTGCACGTGGGTGCTCAGTGTGTGTGCTCAGCGTGGGGACAGGGGGGGAGTCGCGGGCTGGCAGAGTTTCTCCGCGGCTGTGGCACCACAGTGACAACCAAAATGGTCAGCTATTTATCACTGACCATCTAAACACGATACAGGCTCACGCCTGCTTATCTTTCGATTCATCAACTACAATGAGAACCCATTACTTTTTGTTGTTACTCGAACTCCTTTAAAAATGGCGCTCGGCCCAAAATCCCACCTCCCGAAGGTGGGAAACCCCCTTGCAAGCCACGGCCAGCGGGACGTAGTTGATGATGCCGTTGAAGTCACCTTGTCCCGTCTGTCATCTCCCATCCAGCGGCACGTGTCGGAATTGGGGAGATTCTTTTATTCCAACAGTTTTGATGTTATCCGATTTGTGGCGCAATTGAACCGGCAATCGGTGACAGGCAATTGGATGTCCCATCTTTACATCCAGCCTATTATAAAATCACCCAGAAAACCACAAACACAACCACCAAGCACATTCCATACACCCGGGGTGGCGAGATTGCCCAGAGGTAACGCCGTTCGCCGCTTGTTGTAGAGGTTCACGGTTGAACTCAGGCAGACCGCCCTCGTTATTCCTGTGCTGTGTACTCACCGTAATTATTGCACACTGTCCGATTCACTCACAGCGGACGTTAAAGATCCTGTGGCGTCGTTCAAAACGAGAGGCGATTGTGTCGGCGTCACGATCCAAACTTAAAAACTTACACCGTGAATCCCTCAGTTTGGATCACACAGCAGCAATCATCTCCCCCTACTGGCAGACTGATGCCCGCTCGCAGGCCAGGTTTCGAGTTACCTTGTGCCGCACAGGGCCAGCTGTTACTGGGGGTGCCCTTTCAAATGTGTTGAGATGAGATGCAAGTCGCTTAGTGTGTGCAGGGCGCTCCGTGACGCCCCGACGTAATGGAGGGGGGCTCTAATCAAACTCACACCGTCTTTATAACCACACTTCGCTTCAGTTTTTGACCTTTATTAGGAAAGGTTACAAATGTGAACACAAAACTACAAGGCCACGTAACTTGATAACGTTTTATATCGCATAGTTTTGCGCGCGTGCTGGTGACGCGGCTCGGAAAAGTGAGAATTCCGTGAACGGGTTTTAAAAAACAAATCTACTATTCTTTGGTTCTTTCGGTAAAGTCGCGTAGATAGAAATAATAATAAATAATAAAAAGTGAATAAAAATTGTATTCACTTTATTTTTTCTATCTACGTGACTTTACCGAAAGAATCAAAGAATATTAATTCCTGCAGTCAAGAAAGTAAAGTCAAAATTTAACAAATCTACTCTGGGAAAAATCTTGCAACGTTGACTCAGAGAGTCACTCCCTCCTGCGGTGGGGGGGAACCGAGGGAAAGGGATCACAGGCAGGGGAGCCCGCTCAGAACAATTAAAAAACAAACGTAGACAAAGTCAAAGAGTAACATTAACAGAGTAACATTAACAATATGCACAGAAGCCACAGCATTAGTCCTTACCAGCATCTTCAGGGGATTAATTTCAGCCTGGTTCTGCCTGGGTTGCTCGACCCGTAAACTTTTAAAGCTTCCGGCACAGCACATCGCTTTAGCTCTGGTCCACTAATCACGCCCCTATTCCAGTCGGGAAAAAATATTCTGAGAAACACAAGCCCTGGGCATCACCATAGCCATCTTTAACTCTGAATAATTATTCCTGCTCTACGGAGCACAACGCGAGCCCAATCTGGAATTACGTCACCACGTCTGGAGCGGAGCACCCGGTTCCTACCTCACTGCATCCTGGAGAATTACACGCAAAGAGCAATCGGTGTGACCGATGATCCAGTGCTCACAGATTAATTCCAATCACTCGCTCTCCTGCGGCGAATTTCCTCCTTGTCACTCTTCCATCGCTACTACCGTGGGTGAGGACTCGGTCTGCCAGCTGGTTTCATCTCACCCGCACTTGGGGGGTGAGCCACACTGCGGGTCACCTCACTTCTCTCTCTCCGGTTCTTCCCTCACGCGGCTCCACTCTGAAATCCCCTCCTCCCGTCATCGTCTCTTCTCCCCCCACCAAAATACTTACAACCCGGCTTAATTCAAGAGAAGCATTCACTCTCATTTACTACACCGGTTTTATAATTATGAATAATCAGTATCATATAGCCATTCTTGCCTCCTGCTGCCTTGTTCAGAAAGAAAAACAGCCACAAATTGAATCTCGTTTGTCTAAACTAAATTGTAACTATTTTTACTTTACAAGTAAGGCCCATTGAGCTATGTAGCTCTTTTTCAGAAGCAACTTGGCTAGAAATTATGGCTCAACGAAGTGGCTTATCACGTGAAAATTTATAGTAGACAAATACTATAAATGCATTTTTCTGTGGAAGGAAAAACCGGAGAACCCAGAGAAAAATCCATGCCACCACGGGGAGAACACGCAAACTCCAAATATATAACAGTTGTCAGGGTTGGAATCAAACCCACAACCTCCTGCATACCAGGCGAGGTAGTTAACATCTGGCCACCCACAGCACCCCAAAGCTGAGTGCATTACACACACAGTGTGGCGATGTCACATGAGGCATGCTGGGAGGACTGAGTCTCTGTTCCCAATCTGGTCTTTTTCCCACCTTGCAATCTCACTTTGCGAGTAGCATTACAACCCTTGCTTGTGTCAATTTCGAATGCAAGCACATCTCTGACGAGTTGCTCATATAATTCACAGAAAGCATTGGCATTGGTGCACGCGAACGTTAAATGTTTATTATTTATTCCGCCGGGTAAGCCACACCGGTCGAGTCTCACCACTCTTTTTCAGGATGATCCTGCTCCAATCGAGCACGTCAGGCCAACACCAGTGGCAATGCTATGTTTGAAACTATGGGAGGAAACCTATGTCAGAACAGGCGGAGATGCAAACTCCACACAGAAAGGTGCCCAAGTCAGGAATGGAACCCAGGCCCCTTTGTGCCGTGAGGCGTGAGCGTTGCTACTGCCCCACCGAGTTGCCCAACTCACAGGGTCTTCAAAGTTGCTGCCCGGCCGCCGTTGGCCGCCTTTGGCCACCGCCCCGCGTCTCTACCGTCTGCTTGAATCTCCACCGTCACTTCCGTTTTTTTTTTCAAATCTGACCTTAAAAGTCAGGGTCGCGCCAACTCTTTCGGGCGGAAAGTCACCCAAACGAACCTAAAATATGCAGTAAATCTCGCAAGATAGGAATCTATGAAGTCATTACGCAACGTCACCGCTAAGCCATTTACCAAGTGTCACACGCAGCAGACTGCTACAGGATCCTTAATACTTTTGGAATCGTCCCTACATATGCACAATGTCCTCTTCCCAGAGAGTTGCTACATTTGTTGTCGCTTTGACAAGTCTCGTCAATCGAGAAATCCAAAACGTAAACTAAAGTCAAGTGATAAGAAATCTGAGTTCGTAACATTGCCTTCAGGCGACGACGGGAAGGGGAGCGGAACTGGGCATCCCTAGGTGACCTCTTGACCCCAGAGGTCGACATGAGGTCATGGCGAGGTCAGGGTCGGCGAGGTCGGAGTCGGCGAGGTTGGGGAGGAGGTCGGCTTACTCACGATGTCGCACAGGTGACCCTTCAGCTTCAGGAAGTGCCTCTTGAATTCCAGCCCATCGCCCTGACACCACACAAAGACAAAGAAATGCGGTGTAGCCTTTAACACTGTTGAGGCGAGTCCTGTTAGGGAGCCCATGTTAAGACCAGAACGGCGCATGAGACGGTGGTGTGGCCAGCACCACACCCGGCCGCATGTCTCCCCACTGTTGATGTTTATACACCGCAACAGGTATTTATTTAAAGTTGAGTCAACCTAGGGGGAGACCAGGATCGTTTATGATATCACTCACCACTGATGTTAGCAGTGGCAGGGAATCCAACTCAGTTCACTGGGTTCATAGCACAGTGTGCTAACCACTGTTCTCCAGACACGCATAGGCGGTCCACTGACTTTCAATAAAATTGGATTGACAAAGCGTACGAACATGATCACATATCTCTACCGCCTACACACTGCATCGAGCGAGGGGGGGCATGCGTTAACGGACGGCACGATGATTGAAAGGCTGATGCGGAGGGAGGGGAGGATTGTGGATGATGGGGAGAGACGTTGGGTCGGGAGCGATGGCAGGCATAGTCACAGCCAGAGGGTGATAACGATGTTATTTATTTTCAAGGAAAAGCCTCTCTGAAATGGGGCATTTGGCCAACTGTTTTAATGAGTGGTTTGCGTACGCTTGTAAACCATAGCCGCCAAAGCAAACCCACACATTCGAGGGGACCGCGCTCAGAGCTCCGCACAGATGGGTTCAAGAACTCGCTCGCTTAGCTGCCATCACATGGCTTCCTCACAGCCTAGAGGGTGGTGTGGGAGCCTCAGCAATCTCTGCGGAGAGCCTCAGCGCGTTGTGCAAGGCATACGCAAACATCCGGCGTAATTCGCCACAGTGGACTTGCACAGTATCGCGGGTCTGCCCCATGGACCCCTATCTACGACCCCATGACCCTGACCTTTGATAGGCGGAAGTCAAGCAGGAGCCGTCCATCCATCTCCAGGAAGGTAACCTTGAATATTAGTTTGTTGTTGCGTCGGTCGAGGGTCGACAGGGTCACCTGCACGCACATGGGGACACACGATCACCGCGCATGATCCGATCCGGTTACACACACACAATTACAAGCGGCACAAAGAAACGATGCCTCCGCCTTCCCCTCCCCAACCTCACCGCCGACATAGGCTCTTGGGGAAAGTGCTGTTAGCGAGTGCCCATTAAGGTAGTGTCAGAATTCGGAAGAATCGGGCCCGATCGCGAATCCAGCAGAAGCATCGGCGACACTCGTGGAAGGATTTGTTTTCATTTGAATTGCTTCTGTCACATTGGTGACCCAAGTCACTCTTGCAAATGAGACTCTCCTCATCTCTTCGAGTTCTCACCGAGTTAAATGAAGTAAACGTGATTCAAATAAACTGCAGGCAGTGCATCACACCCCACCACCTTTGTCTCCCCCGTGCTACTGTTTGCACATCGTACCGAGGTACTTATTTAAGAAAAGTTGACTTCGGAAAGGCCCAGTACCGATTCAGATAATCTCCACTCCTGTTAACAGTGGTCGGGAATCAAACTCGGGATTCAGGTTGGTAGTGCAGCGCGTTAACCAACGCACTAATCACTCCCCCATAAATTTAAACACACACGAACGCACCAGCAGATATACACACTGATAAAAAATAGAGGAAGGCACGCACAGATAAACACATGCAACATCCACACTGCTCCATAATAATTATATGTTAATAATTAATACAATTGGTATTCGTTCCATTCTTATAGTGAAAGGCTCTGCAAAGTAGGGAGTGCGAGAAAATTTGCCAACATTGGACCGAGATGTCGCCAGCACCCACGGTCTACTCTTCATGACCGTTGTCACAGGGTCTTCATCGTCCACTGCACAACGAGCGGCGAGTGCCCTGCCGCTGGGTCACGCATCGCCACCGTGGCAGCGCGCTCGGGGAGGGCTCCGGGAGCCAAGCCAGCCGCTGCATTAGAGCAGGGTAGAGTGACTCGCCTAATGAATGTTTAAACCTTGGGGCGAGCGAGTGGGACCCGGGTGTGCGGTTACTGCGTGGGACGGAGGGAGGGAAACGGAGGCTGTGGGGCAGCTGAGCCTCCTTCATGCCTCTCAAGGCCAAGGGCAGTGGAACGACTGGGTGGCTCAGAGATCAGCGAGCTCAGCCGGCGCCGCAGAGATCCTGGATTCCTGTCCAGGTTTCAGCTGCCCGTGATGAAGCGAATTCCTCTAGAGCGGCAAGTTAATGGGCTCCGCCCAGGGTCGCCAATGACTTACACACAGCCGTAGACTCACATAGAGACCCACATAGACTGGGTTATAAGTAAACCGAGTAGCAGGTTGATGGTGTCAGCTCAGCTGCCAATGGATGCACGCAAAAATTGGCAGCTATTAAGAATTAAAATATCAATTTGACGGTCATGCGATGAAAATTACTCTCAAATGGCAGTACTGGTGGGACAGTGCTGCCCTCTGCTGTGTGTGTGGACCAGAGGTCACATGAAGGTCCTCAGAGGTAGCTCTGTGACATCTACTTCTGCGGGCCGTTTTCCAACAGGAACAGTTGCACTGCACTGCGAGATCCTAATGGATTCTCTGGATGGTTTCTGTGCAATGCCTGCGTTTATGGTCCCTTCTTTCACCAACCCACACTCAAACAACAATTAGAAATAATGTAGCGCATTTAATGTTCGTGGCATTCTGATAGCGCAAGGCTATCACGAAGGCAGGCGCTGCTGTGTCACACAGTCTACAGGAGTTTCAAAGCGAGGGGTGATATTATTTATTATTCCGCTTGTTTACCCAGGAAAGCCTCACCGATTCTCATGACTCTTTCTTGGATGAGTCTTGCCAAATTCTCACAGTAGAGGGTGCGATGATTGCCATGTGTCATCCCAATTGAGTAATTTGCGGTGTAATGTTCATTTGTGGCGCCAGCAGACAGCAGCCTACTCTTTTCGAATGGCGTCACGAAATCTTTAATTTCCACTGTGAAGCAGAAGACTTATGTATGTTGAACTTATTTTGCACCGAACGTAGCCAACCCTACTAATTATACGGTCAACACCCACTGCAGTCATAACCAGGGCTGCCTGCCATGTTCAAACCGCAAACCTAAACAGTCTTAAGCTGCTCGTCCTTGTAAAAGCTGCTGAGCTCAGTGGCCCTCACCAGCCAAGATAATAAGATAATAAAGCCCGATAGAGTCCGAGTCTAAGCTGTAACAAGCAGCGAATGCACCACCATTGGGCCATGCCACCGCGCCGACGCCATCGCGCTCCGCGTCTCTCGAGGCACCAAGCGAGAAACATTTCTGCCCTTCACGAGGAGGGGGTGGGGCAGCCTTTTAATGACCTTGGGCTGTTGCTCGTTCTCACGAGCGGTGCCGTGAGGCTGCGACTGAGCCCTTCGTTATCAGGACGAGCGAAACGGAGCGTGACCGTGGGAGCAGATCTCACAAGCGAAGGCTCGCCTCGCCGCTCACGCGTTCCAGAAACGTGATGACAGCTCGAGCTGCTCACAAGTCTGCTACATGTGTGCTCGTCGTGTGCATGTGCTTACGTGCGTGGGTGTGAAAGCGTGACCTCTGTGGAGGTTCGTGAAGGATGCTACTGAGCAGTTGGAGGCAGTTGCCCTTCAACAACAACGGAGGGCGGAGGAGCGATGCTCACAACAGCGAGCGGAGTGCCGAGCGACTAAAACACAGGAAGTTGGCACAGTAGGGGGCACAGGTGGTGCATCTGCCAGTCATCTCAGTCAACCCATGGCACCTCGGTCTGTCCCATGACCCCCTACCAGCGAGCCTTCCACACTTCACATGGCCTTAAGGTGCACCTAGCTTGGCACATACACCATTGTGAAGTCACCGCCACTTAACGGCGAAAGGCAGTTATGGTTCTTGTGTGAGTGTGCGCACCGCACCACACACACGCATGCACGCACACACTCACACACTGACGCACCTGCGTGGGGCAGGTCTGGCGGTAGGAGAGCCCGTGGCCCTCGCACACCTCGCTCAGGCGTGATCGCACCTCCTCGGCCGCACCACGCACAAAGAAGCGTGTCATGCGCTTCACGAGTCTTAGCCAGGGGTTCTGTGTGGGGACAATGGACGCATGTACACACACAAAAAAGATACACGGACAGACACATGGTCAACATAGCGCAGTCATTTCACTAGACATAGATGACTGATGATGTAGCACTTACCGAATCACTCTCTCACTGGCAGGAAATCGCCTCATCACTCTTCTATTGCTACTACCGAGGTTACCATTCCATTGAACTTTACTCATCGCCACATGTGTGGAGGAGTCGGGCGACCATACATTGACCGCTTCGTCTAATCCACCACATGGTGTTCAACCACCATTCCTGCAGACCACAGCAGCTCGCTCACCCACTCAGTCACCACATTGCGCGCCACAACTCTTCTCTTTCTGCTTCTTCCCTTGAATTGCTCCACTTTGGATTTTCTTCCCAACGTCTCTTCTCCCAATGCTCTTACAATAATAACCTTGCTCGATACAAAAAAATGCATTAGCTGCTAACAGTTACAACTTGACAGTGCTGCTTTTGTTGGCCATTTTGTGTCTGGGGTCCATGCTCGGATTCACCAATTAATTCACGCACATTGATTCTGCTTTGTGTCTCTCAAGTTTTGGGAAACCCTCAGATCGATGTATCCAGTTTTCTTTAACGCAGGTTCCTAACAGCAACACAACCGTGCAGCCCAATTGCACACAGGTGGACAAACAGAACAAATGCTCTGTAACACTTTCAACCTTCATTGGAAAGCTTGAAGAAAAATAATTGACTGCATAAAATTGGGACCTCTCAGATTACTATAAGTAATGGGATCGCCAGAGGGGCCAACTGTTGAACGATGAATACAGAGCTCGAACTTGTAGCGTTTCTCAATATGATTTGGCACAAATAGCTGTTTATGGGTGGGACACGTGCGCACGATAGGGGAGGGCCGATTGCTGAGACCGCATTGGAGTGGTCTCCACGAGTCCGGCAGCCAAGAGAAAGAAAAGACCTAACACGGCAGCACATGGTCGGATACTATCAGGGCAGATCTTTGGAGGTTGCCGCATGTCAACTGTGCAGCAGCAGTTGCAGGATCTGGAGGAGGGTAGTGAGCGTTGGCAGCGAGGTGTGGTCGCATGGACGGCTTTGGCCAACGTCTTGATCTTGATATACAGATGGTTACACCCGACACGCAGAACCCTCAAGCGTCCAATCTGTGTGCCTGTGGCGTTACCTGCGAGGATACCGGCGTGGACTGCAATTGGCTGCTCAGAAGCATGTGATCAGGGTGGAGCGGCTGGGAGAAGCTGAGGCCCCCGAGAAGGGCGTTTATGGAGCTGCCCGTCGACTGGGAGGGGGACGGATGGGTGAGGCGCGGCTCGGGCTGAGAAACGGAGTAGCGCACCTGCTCATCGCTGCCGGGAGAGGGGAGACACGGTGAAGCGCGTGGCATTAGTAGTCGGTGGCAAATTGTAAAAGTGCAGCACTATAATTGCCTCCCATCCCCCTTCCTCTTTATTAACAGGTTGAATTATGTTATTAATTTGCATATATTTTTTATAATCGACATGTCCCTCTGTGTAATTCCATCCTTTCTGCACTTTTTGATTTTTGTTCCATTTTTTTCCGATTTTATTTCACCAGCTGAGAACACACTGAGTTGACACAAGGGGGCAATGTGTACACTCACGGCAGGAGAACAATGCGAGTTATATGAATCTGTGTAATTCTGAAGGTCTAAATCTAAGGTTTTCATACGAGTCTACGAGTCTCTGCATGAGTCTCAAGTGACCGGGGCTAAGCCCTGGTTTAATCACAGCTAGCCCAACCTGTACTCTTCCAGGGCCACATCCGTGGTAAATCCGGTGCGGGATGAGTGAATCACCCCCCCACGGAAGCTGGAGTCATTCGTCTGAGTGAATCATCGATCGTCTGGCGGCGTTAAGGGTGGCGAGGCGCAGGGCAGTCCCGCTAGTGCTAGATATTGACTGCATTAATATTCATAACATTATGGGCACATTCTAAACTTCTGCTCCTATAGCATTAACAGGCTGTAGGGGAAAGTGCTGCTAGTGAACACCTATTAATGCCGGCATGGCACACAAGGGAGCGATGTGGCCAGCAACATGCCTGGTGCCTTTGTCTCCCCAGTGCTGATGTTTACACACAGCAAAAGGTACTCATTTAAGGCCGAGTAGACCTAAGGAAGGTTCAGCACTGGTTAATATATTTGTCACCATGTTGTCCGTCAGTGGGAAATTAACTAAGGTCACCGGGTTAGCAGAACAGTATGATAATCACTACACTACTGCTCTCCACTCATACACACACACACACACGTTCTCAGACTCACCTGGCGAGCGATCCTGGAGAGAGGTCGATCCCAGAGCAGATTCGCTTGGAGCTGAGTCCAGACTCCCCCAATTCCCTCCGCACACCTGCAACGGCACCGCGTCAAACCACAATCTACTATCTCGTACCACGTCACGACACCTCCACCGTATCGCACATGGTACCGCATGTAAAACAAGGTGTCACACCACACTGATCCGTAAAGTGCCAAACCGCCACCCCGCTGCTGCTTTTTAACAGCTCAGCGATGCCTGAGGAAATATCCTTCCAGTGAGAGGCGCCGTGGAGCCACGGTATTTCTCTGACACCCTGAATTTATACCGCACAAACACGCACACACACACACTCACCACCTCGCTTGAGGGTGTGGTTAAACCAGGAGTTTTGGCGGATTTCCGGGATTGTTGCGCGCTTCTCTGCGTCCGGTTCCAGGACCTTCCTGAGCAGAGCTGTGCACACGCACAGGTATATACACATAGGTACAAAGACAAAGATCCCCCGTATAGCCTTAACAGACTGTAGGGGCAAGTGCTGTTAGCAAGCACCTACACATAGGTACACACATATACATGCAAAGACAACGATCCCCCCATATAACCTTAACAGACTGTTGGGGCAAGTGCTGATAACGAGTACCTATAAAGGCTGGAACGGCACACGAGAGGGTGGGTGGCCAGCACCACGCCCGGCGGCCTTTGTCTCCCTAGTGGCAATGATTTTACACACTGCACCAGGTACTCACGTGAGACTGAGTCAACCTATAGAAGGCCCAGGACCTGTTAAAATAATCGTCACCAGTGTTGGCCATTAGCGAGAATCGAACTCGGGTTGCCGGGTTCGTAGCGCAGCGTGCTAACTTCTATACTACTGCTCCCCAGGTGCGCACATACGTGTACAGAGCGCCATGGCATACCCAAGGGCAGGGAGTCAATCTTCCTCCAGGGAGTCACGTGCAGCCTCCGCTGCCTCCAGTCCACATACTCCATGCACGACATCGCTGGTTGATCCCACGGGAGCTCTGACGGGCAAAAAACACCGCGCCAGCGAGCGAGAGAGCGAGCAATCAACGAGACCCCATCACCCCAATACTCTCCAATCCCTCTGCCCATTTCCAGCGCCGTCCCGGATCAATTTCATGATCAACGCTCACTGTCTTCGACATCCTTCGTGGACTCGGCCCTGTCTACATCTCCCCTCACTCTACGATTGATAACAATCACGAATCCTATTTAGAACATGCTCACAATTTGTGCAGCGAGTCACCAACACAAGCCAGGGGCACGTACACGCTCTCACAGACCCAAAGAGTCTCAAGAGAGGCCAACAAACTCACGTAGACCCACAGATTCTTAGAGACCTATAGGTTCTCAGAGATCCAGATTCTCACAGACCTATAGACACTCAGACCCATAAACTTCCCGTAGACTTACTCTTTGGTTCTTTCGGTAGAGCCACGTAGGTAAAAAAATAAATACTTAATAAAATAAAAACAACTAAATTTAGTTGTTTTCATTTGTTTTATTTTATTTACGTTTTTTAATTATGTTTTTACCTACGTGACTCTACCGAAAGAACCAAAGAGTATGGATCCTTGCAGTCACGAAAACTTAGAATCTATAATTCCCGTAGACTTACTAATCTCCGTGAAGTAGGGACATTGCCCAAAACGTCACTTATTGTACGTATTTTTAAGGCAGTATTATTGACAAAGGTGTTTCCGTTTTTGGTACTTACGCACCACTGCCAATGCAGTATCAGCAAATCAAATAGGTGAATTCCCTAGACTTGTAGAGAACCGCTAACAGGTGAGTGAGCGGTGAATCCGGTGCGGCGGTAGTGGTGCGAGTTGGCCCTCACCACCAGCCAGCATGGCGGTGAGCACCACGCCGCACGCCCACACGTCGACCGGCGCCGCGCGGAATGTCGGGTCGGGCTGCAGCAGCTCGGGGGCCACGTATGGCAGCGTGCCGCACGTGCGGCTCAGGCGCCGCTCCCGCCCGCTGTGCCGGAACACCGTGGCCAGCCCAAAGTCCGAGATCTTCAGCGTGTCTGCGTTAGGGGGACGGGGTCATGGTGTTATCTGTAGGTAGGTGTTGTCCGAGGTCACGGTGGTGGTGTCTGTGTGGCGGTGTATGGGTCATGGTGTGGTCACTGTTTGCACTGTCACGCCGCACCATTTTCATCAAGGAGCAGATTCTCTGGTTTGATGTCGCGGTGAGTGATGCCCAGGCTGTGTAAGTATTCCTGCATGTTCACACACACAGAAGACAAAGACCCCCGTATAGCCTTAACAAACTAGCCTGAATAGAGCACCTATTAAGATCAACACGACACACGAGCGGGTGGGTGGCCAGTTTCATGCCCGGCAGCCTTTGTTTCCCTAGTGCTGATGTTTATACACACGCACCAGTTACTTATTTGAGGCGGAGTCGATATAGGGGAGGCTCAGGACCAGTTTAGATAATCTTCAAAAATGTTGGTCATGAGAGGGAATCGAACTCGGATCACCGGGTTTGTAGTTGTCTTCATGTGTGGTGAGCTACTGCTCACCACACATGAAGACAACCTTGTAGCCTTAACAGACTGTTGGGGCAAGTGCTGTTAGCGAGCACCTATGAAGGCCAGCATGGCACACCATGGGGTGGGTGGCCAGCACCACGTCTGGCCGCCTTTGTCTCCCCAGTGGCAATGTTGATGCACCTCACCAGGTACTCATTAGAGGCTGAGTCGACCTAGGGGAGGCCCCAGGACCAGTTCAGATAATCGTCACTGATGTTGGCCATGAGCTGGAGTCGAGCTTGGGTCGCTGGGTTCATAGCGCAGCGGCGCTAACCGCTGCACTACCACTCCCCACACTTAAACACGTAGAAACATATGCGCGCAAAAAGACAAGTGGCGGTAAATTATCGCAATAATGGTCAATGGTGGTTACTGTTGGGTGTGCGTTTGATGGTGCCCCGGTTTGTGTGTGCCTTGGTGATTGTTGTGCCCCACGGGGCGTGAATTGACGCACCACGCCGGCTATCAGCTGCTGGAAAAATTTCTGAGCTTCGAACTCCGGCATGCCGACGTCCGGTTCTGTGAATAGAGAGGAAACACGACCGTATGTAAGGACCCAGCAGAAACAACAGGGAGCGGGAGGGCATTCACGTGGAAGCATCTGGTAGAGGAGAGGGTAGGAAGTGGAAGGTAGCTGTGTGGCAGAGTGGGGAAGCACGCGACCATACGGTGAACGTCTGGACGAAGACACTTCTAGAGCTGGACGTTGGTGGTGGTGACAGCGGTTTGGCGGTGATGGTGGAGGTAATGTTGGTGTTGGTGCCGGTGGGGACAGTAACAGTGGTGGTAATACTGAAGGTTGATGATGGTGGTGGTAACGTGTGTGTTGGCGGTATTGCCGACGGCGGTTGTTGGTCATTGAGAGTAACAATCACGGTTGGTCACAGCGATATTACCCTATTACGCTAACTTCAGCATCATCGGCACCACATCGGCCGCATCCCCCCCCACCTCTCACCGATGCGATCAAAGAGCTCCCCGCCGCTGCAGTACTCGAGGAAAATGTAGTGGATGTCGGCGTCCCGCCGCGTGCCAAAGAAGCGCACCACATTGCCGTGGCTCAGCATGCGGTTGATGCAGATCTCCTTGCGCACCGTCTCAGGCCCCGCGGACGCCGCCACACGCCGGACATCCACGATCTTCACCGCCACCGCCTCCTCTGTGGCGCGATTCACAGCCAGGCGCACCCTGTGTATGCACGTGCAGACACGTAATGGACGCACGTGCATGTACACGAGCGTGCGTTCAATAACAGCGGCAGCAGCAAAGACAACGGCCATCATTCGACCACTAAGTGATGGTGACTTCACCACAGCACTTGTGCCAGGCTCAGTGCAGGTTGTAGGACAGATCCCGGTATTATGGATAACTAGCAAAGCATAAGCGCAGAAACAAACACGACAATGATGAATATAAAGATGATGATGATGGTTATGGTTCATGCCAATGGCGATGATTGTGAGGATGATGATGGTGATGATCATGTTGATGATTGTGATTACAGTGACAATAATGGAGATGATGGTGATTACAGCGTTAGTGATGATGGTGATAATGTCAATGGTGACGATGATGTTGAGGATTATAATGGTGATTAAGGTGTTAGTTATGGTGTTGATGATGGCAATAATGTTTCACCATTGTGATGACGGTGACAACCATGATGGTGTTAGTGATGATATTGATGGTGGTGACATTTATGGTGGTTATGGTGATGATGGTGATTATTCTGACGATGTTCACTATTATCATGAAGCTGATGATGTTGATGATGATAAATGATGTTGATAGTGATAACGTACTCTCCATAAGCTCCTTCCCCGAGTGTCTGCACCAGGTCCCATCCCTCCACAAATGCTATCGCCATGCCTCCTATGCCAACATTACACACAGACACAATCACCAAAATTACACACGGACACCATCACCAACATAACACAAACACCATCACAAACATAACACCGTCACGTTAAGGCAACGTAAAGTGTCAAATGCCCGCTGGCAGGTCACGGGGCAGACCCAGGTGCCATGGGTTGACCGAGATGACTGGTCGATGCACCACCTGTGCCCCCTACTGTGCCAACCTGCTGTGCTTTAGCCACCCGGCGCTCCGCTCGTTGTTGTGAGCGTCGCTCCTCTCCCCTCCGTTGTCGTTGGAGGGCGACTACCTCCAACTGCCGAGTAGCGTCCTTCACGAGCCTCCTCCAGAGGCCGATCTTGACACCGCTGGTACCAGACATCGGCAAGTCGACTCAGCTCCACATCGCTGGGCATGCGGGCTACATGACCCAGCCAACGCAGCCTTGCCTGCCGGAGGAGCTCACCGATGGGACTTTGTCCAGATCTTTCAAGAATTTGTGAGCTCTTCACACAATATATCCTGGTTAAACTCAGGATGGATCGTAGGCAGGCCAGCCAAAATATTTCTAACCGGCGAACATGTTCCATTAGGGGGGTCCACGTTTCGCAAGCGTAGAGAAGGGAAGGGCATGGCTGTGGCTGAGAAGACCCGAAGCTTCGTGTGGAGCGACAGACCAGGTAGCTTCCACACAGCAGCGTTACGCAGCCAATGAAAATATAATGCCGCCCAGGTACGAAAAACTCTCCACTCTCTCTCCACAACTGTCCCATCACGAAACACCATCACCAACATAACATACAAATACCATCACACGCAGACACAGACCAAAACTAACATAACTCTGAACATGAGATTAAAACAGGCACACCCACTAACACCAAAAGACGCAAACACACGTAAAACCAACAAACCAAACAATCACAATGATGCCAACACAAACCCCACAATAAACAAACAGCACAAACACCAACAATAAACACAGAGGTAGAGACACGAACAGCAACTCAAATCTGAGCAGACTCACCGACTCGATACTCCTTCAGACTCCAGCCAGAGCCGATTCGTCTCTACACTGAGACGCCGCGAGCTGTAGCGAAGACGCGAGGCAGCGCTGTATTGGAGACAGGGAGTGGGGGACGCGGCACTACAGTAGCAGAGACAGAATATAACGGAGTAATGGGAGTGGAGACGCGTCGACCGAAACGTAGTCTCGCTCCTGTACCCGTGGTGTGGGGACACAGCAGCAGTGGAGACAGAGACACTCGCTTTGTCCACGACCGGTGAAGAGACGGAGCCCGTTCCCGGCTGCTCGCCGCTCCCTCCCAGCCCCCCTCAGCCGTCCCCCGCTGCCCGCCGCTCGCTCCGCGTCTCCGTCCCTCAGCTACCCGACCCCGCGTTTCCCGCGTAAATTTCAGTCCCTAACGGTTGCGTCACGTGCCTCTTCTCGTGACGTCGGTCGAATGCATTTTTTATCGTGATGACGTAATCCTAACGCTTCGAAGTTGTGAAGTGGTGCCGTGACATCATTCCTAAATATATGACGTCACTATTAGATGCCCATTGATGGGTCCCCGAGAAACGGCGATATATCACGATATCTCTCACGATATCTCTCACGATATACGATATATCACGATATCTCTCACGATATAACACGATATCTCACGATATGAACTCCACAAGGATCGTATCGCCAGATTTACACAATGTCGTGATATCGCGATGTATTTTGATTTAAAGCTTTCGTGACTGCAGGGATTCATATTCTTGGTTCTTTCGGTAAAGTCACGTAGAAGGGAAGCAATAAAATAATAAAAATATAATTCTAGATTTAAAGCTTTCGTGACTGCTAGGATCCATACTCTTTGGTTCTATTGGGTAAAGTCACGTAGGTGAAAATAAAATAACAAAAAATCACGACGTTTCGGCCACAACACAAGCGGCCTTCGTCAGGTGAAGGGACGAGACTGTCTGGAGGACAGCGCTGGAGTGGAAGAAGCCACGCTTAGATCACGACCTTTAAGCTGTGTGAGAAGAAAAAGGCCAAGTGCCTTGACAAAGGAATTAGCATATAATTTAGCATTGAAATGGCTCATTGAAATAGCTAAGTTAAAGTATACACATCCGCAGAGGTACCCCTTGACAAAGGAATTAGCATCGAATTTAGCATTGAAATAGCTGAGTGATTAGCTTGTAACTGGTCACAGAAATAGCTATGTTAAAGTTAAAGCATATACATTCACCGAGGTACCTAGTACTCATCAAACAGGAGAATTTAGCGAAACACAACCACGCTCAGACATCGGACCTGTGTGCGAGCAAACAAGGTGTTCTGACAAAGAAATTAGCAAATGCTAATTTTTATGCTAATTTCCTTGTCAGAACACCTTGTTTGCTCGCACACAGGTCCGATGTCTGAGCGTGGTTGTGTTTCGCTAAATTCTCCTGTTTGATGAGTACTAGGTACCTCGGTGAATGTATATGCTTTAACTTTAACATAGCTATTTCTGTGACCAGTTACAAGCTAATCACTCAGCTATTTCAATGCTAAATTCGATGCTAATTCCTTTGTCAAGGGGTACCTCTGCGGATGTGTATACTTTAACTTAGCTATTTCAATGAGCCATTTCAATGCTAAATTATATGCTAATTCCTTTGTCAAGGCGCGTGGTCTTTTTCTTCTCACACAGCTTAAAAGTCGTGATCTTAGCGTGGCTTCTTCCACTCCAGCGCTGTCCTCCAGACAGTCTCGTCCCTTCACCTGACGAAGGCCGCTTGTGTTGTGGCCGAAACGTCGTGATTTTTTTGTTATTTTATTTTTACCTACGTGACTTTACCCAATAGAACCAAAGAGTAATAAAAATATAAAACAATACAATTCTCACGACGTTTCGACTGCAACACAAGCAATCATCACATTTTCTTGTGGTTTTCACACCTGATGATGATTGCTTGTGTTGCAGTGGAAACGTCGTGATAATTTTATTGTTTTATATTTTTATTATTTTATTGTTTCCCTTCCGCGTGACTTTACCGAAAGAACCAAGAATATCGCGATGTATATTTACGAAATGTCTAGAATTAAAGTGTCAAGTTTATTTTAATTAACCAGCTGAGAACTCGCGAGACATATGGGTCATCAAAATGACCAAATTAAAATAAGCAATGTAGCAAACATAAATCTGGAACAAAACCAACCACGTCGTTGAAGTTTTTGCGCGTTTCCCGCAGTTAATTCTCATTGAATGACATAAACTTGTTGAGCTTGTTTCGAGCTGCACATCGCCATGCCAAGGTTGTGTGCTGTGGTGTTGTTGTTGACGGAGGTGCCGAGTTGTTCATTGTGCACCGGCACACGAAGATCCCACGTGTAGCCTTCACAGACTGTTGGGGCAAGTGCTGTTAGCGAGCAGCACCTGTGAAGGTCGGGATGACACAGCACCACACCCGGCCGCCTTTGTCTCCCTCAGTGGCGATGTTTGCTACACACCGCACCAGGTGCAGTGCTCAATTGAAGGCGAGTCGACCCAGGGGAGTCTAAATACAAAGTTCTGATTCTGGGAGGCTCAGGTCCGAATCAGGCCGTGAGCGGGAATCGAACCGGGCAACCCGGGTTCGTAGCACAGCGCGCTAACCTCTGTACCAACAACAACAACAAGCGCCATTCGTCACTAAGTGGCGGTGACGTCACCACGGCGCTTGTGCCAGGCTAGGTGCACGTTAAGGCCACGTGAAGTGTCGAACGCCCGCTGGCAGGAGGTGACGGGGCAGACCCAGCAGGTGCCACGGGTCGACTGACTGAGCTGAGTGGCCGATGCGCCACCTGTGCCCCCCACCGTGCCAACTACGCCACCGCTCCCCCACACCAGAGGCGATTTTCAACACGCCACGGTCCGGATGACGTCATCGCGGGGTATTCGTCATGTAGCGTCGCGTGTGGTAACGATGACGCCATCTCCATCGTGACGTCAGTTCGCGCGACGCGGACGTCACGAGGCAAAATGGTGGACCCCATGGAGGACCAGAAGCTGCGGGAGATGGAGGCGGAGATGGCGCTGTGAGTGTCCCCCCTGGCCCCGTGTCCCCTCCCGTGTCTCTCCCGTGTCCCCCCCGTGTCCCCCCTGACCCTGTGTCCCCTCCCGTGTCTCTCACGTGCCTCCCCTCCCGCCCCCGTGTCCCTCCCGTGTCCCCGCGTCTCGTGTCCCTGTATCTTCTTGTCTCCTGTGGCTGTCCCCGCGTTCTCCTCGGCCGTACCGTGGAGTGAGAGGCTGTGTGAGGGAGTGTGAGAATGAGAGGGTGGGGAGCGGTAGTGTAGCGGTTAGCATGCTGCTGAGCTGCCCATCCACCCCCTCGTGTGCCGTGCCGGCCTTCATAGGTGCTCGCTAACAGCACTTGCCCCAACAGTGTGTTCAGGCTACACGGAGGATCTTTGTCTTTAAGGTCAATTCCTGCTCAAGGAAAACACCAGTGACGAATATCTGAACCGGTCATTGGCCTCCCCTATGTGTATTGAGCATTAAATAAGTACCTGGTGCCGTGTGTGAACATCAGCACTGGAGAGACAAAGACGGCTGGGCGTGTTGCTGGCCACAATTGGTGCTCGCCAAAACCACTTTCCCCAACAGCCTATAAGGCTGTGAAGGGGATCTGTGAGCGTCTTCGTATGTGGTTGAATGTTCATCAATATCTCCCATTGAAATCACGATTTCATGCTAAGCTGATAATTAAGAACTTCCATTTCATTGGCATTTGACACGTGTCCTCGTCTGTTTACATGCCTAGTGCAATCATCACCCTTATTCCATTTTGATGTTTTTGCAGCGTAATTTTACCGTGAGCGATTAAAAAAAGTAATTCGTCCTCGCTAGATTTCTTCAGAAATAGTTTTTGATTGAATGTTGGCATATACATGTGCACTGTTTTCGATTTCTGCTGTAATGCCGTTGTTTTTGTACAATTTCTACAATATTTGGTGGGTTTTTGCTCCGATTTCTATTTGCGTCTTGATTTCCTCCTTTGTGGGATTGGTGACCCGGGCCACTCTTGCCAATGAGAATAATCGCGGTCTCACCTGGCGAACGTGAAACCGTATCTGTGCCCATGCAGCTTTGAACAGGAGGTGCTGGGCGGAACGCTGACCTCCCAAGCTCGCCCAGTCATCTCCTCCAACACGTACCACCAGGTGAGAGACAAGCAGGCTCGGTCCACTGTCAGCTTCACTCCACTGAGGGTGACATCCCCACCCGCGTTGCTAACGTTGGATTGTTAGCGTTGTCAATCACAAACACTGCCCACGTGTGTACGAACTAAGAGGCTCATGGGAGTCGATTCAGAAGCAGTTACATGACGTCATCTTTCAAGGCTGGTCCACTGCTCGCTGCGTGAGTTATGAATGGAAATTACATTGATGCCCTTATCACAATTGCATTGTAATTTTGAGTGTGGTTAATTTTGGTAATGTTGGTAATACTCACGTGCACTCTCAATCTCTCACAGAGCACAATTGGAATCTGCAACCAATCACTTTAATTGTTGAAAAGGTTAAAGAGTACAACTGTGGGTTGTGCTCTAGATAGACTAGCACCTGACATGGGAAGGTGTAAATTCCACAACTGACTAAAAGTCACCTGAGTTGAGCACCGTCTCACTCGATGAAGAAACACAGCGGGACGGAAACTGACGAGTAGCTGTCGGGGCATTTGCATGTTCCTTTTTGCTCTGGTTTGTGTCACTCAGAACTGGTGCTGCAGCACCCCAAGGTCGACTGAGCCTTAAATTAGTACCCTGGTGCGGTGCATAAACATCTGCACCGGGATGACAATGGCGGCCACCCCCCATCCCCTTTTGCATTGAAGGTGCTCGCTAAGAGCATTTCCCCCACGAGTCTGGTACTAATAGTAATAGTTCATAATTGAGAACATTTGGTAGCGCAAAGCTGTCACGAAAGAAGGCGCTGCTGTGTTTCACGCACACTGTCTGCAGCACATTAGGGGACGATGTTACTGCTGTGTGTAATCCCAATCGAGCAATTAAGATAAAACCTCTGAGGGGGAATCTTTGTCTTTTGCGTGTTTGTTTGTCTGTATGTAGGTGCAACAGAGCTTGCTGCAAGCCCGAGCTGCAGCAGGGCCCATTCCAATGCCGCCTCTGCCACCGTGTAAGGCCACCACACACGTCCCTGACACTGTCACCGTGGCCCTCGCAGTCACCGGCATGATGTGCCTTTAGCCCAGCCGATGCCAGTCATAATGAATAATGCATATAATATCCATCATTGTCACAGATAAATTGGAATAAAGTTAAAATACATTAATTTATAATTGTTAACATCAAGGTTAAATCTGAGTTGGTGAGTTGTTGGCTAAGTGATCGAGTGAGTGGGTGGATGAGTGGCTATAATGTGTCTGGAAAAATTCCAGACCCTGGGTTTTATCACCCAGGCTTGGTAGCAATTTACACCACTGGTTCAGTGCTATGGAGGCAAGTGGCCGGCAGGTGGCTGAATAGCACTTGGTGAGCCCTCAATGTGCTGTTGTTTCAGTTTTGCAGTCAACTCTCGATTGTCCAGGGTAGTTCACACAGAAGGTAGTCTGCCCATTTTTCCCTTGCACATTCGAGCTGTCCCAGTGTGGTTCCCTGACGGTATGGGTGATTGTCCACTGGCTCTTTGTCGAGCTGAGCCGATATCAAACGGTGGATCCAGGGCTCGGGTCGCGTCAGAACACGCTGATGTCTTGCGTTTACAGTAGAACCGCCCTTAGTGACGGTAATTGGTTCCACAAAACCAGCCGTTAAGTGATTTGGTCGTTAAGCGAGTATAGGATATACATTTTAACGGCTTTTTGTTCTGATAGCATCAAAAGTTACCCTTTCTCACCCAAAAAACTTGCTTTTTTATTTAAACAATGGATTTCAATACATAAAGATGCTAACAACAGAAACACATAATCTTAAAAGAATCATGGTTAATAAATGCATAAATTAATATTTATTGTACCTATAACAGCCCGTCGTTATCAGGGGAATGGTTGGTAAGCGAACACATTGGGCTCTATGGAGGCCTGTCGTTAAGTGATTAGTTAAGAGGGATTTTACTGTATTGCCACATGGCACAGTTTCTGCTGTGGAAAAACAACCTGGCACTTCCTAAACCACGCCGTGCTGGCTCATTACGGCCCTCTATGGCTTTGTTGTGAATTGGAAAAGAGTTATCAGTCCAGCATCTCCACTGTCTGCACGATTGGAGACTTTGTGGAACAGGTTCCGGTCCATTTGAAAAGACCGTTTCGTACGCATCTGCATTTCTCCATTGCGTCGATTCCTTGATTCTCCATGATCTACATGGCCACTCCGCTTATCATAGTCTGTCTGTGACGACCGGTATTCACCAACAGTGCAGTCGTTAACGGTGTGTTCTCCCCCCTCCCTCACTTTCTCTCCATGCAGTTGTGCCCCCCATGAGGCCCCCACCAAGGCCTGCGTTTGTCCCCCATGTCCTACTCAGGCCAGGTAATGTGGACTTTCAAAGCGCACGCGTGCCGGTCAAAACCGTGCTCGCCGCAATACGATGTTTCGCCATGCAATACGGTACTCATTTAAATTTCACTATATGGCAATCATCACGGTATCAGTTTCCCCTGACGTGGTAATAGTATTTTGCATTGTATTGTTTTTGCACGTTGCTGAACTTCCGGTGTTTGTGTGCAATGATGGGTTTCCACACACTGCGTGAAGATTAATTTCATAAAAATTTTATTGCAGCATCTTGAGTTGCGGTCGCATTTTGACGTGCTCTCAAAACACATTGCATTGTGTTGCACTCTTACCGCATTGTTCACACGCTCTCTTGCCATATTCTCCCCGTTAACATGTGGCAATAAAACTAAGGCCTAAAGAGGAAAAATATGATTGACAACGTTTCAGGCAATGGCCTTTCTTCATGACACATTGCCCAAAACATGGGGATGACAAACGTGTAAAGTTTTTGTGTTTTTTGTTCTTGTGCACCACTGCCACCGCAGCAGCCTTATCACCAGATAATAATTTCTTGAATACTCCTACCATGCCCCTTTACCATGATGCATTACCGCACTGCGTCACCGCTCTTGTCGTGATGCCGTGCCGTTCTGCTGGAATCGGCACCTTGAGTCACCGGTGAATGTAGACGCTCTGTACATCCCAATAGCAAGGTGCCACATCACCACCTTCTTACTGCGGTGTTATCGTGCCGCTGCCCAGACGTGACACCGCTGATTGCTGTGTTGCAGCCGCGACGGCACTGTCGCCACGGCCTCCGCTATTGAGGCCTCCGCTGCGCCCGCCTCCGTTCATGCCCATGCCGCCCCGGCCACACGGCATGATGGGGCCGCCCCCACCCATCGGCCCCATGGGCTTACCTCCGGTACGTAGATTCAGAGATTCGCGCACCGCATGCGCACAGAGACACGCGTGCGCGAATGCGGCAAATATGCAGGCATACACGCGCACACACTTATGCGGACACATATGCATGACGAATGCGCACACATGCAAAAAGGCAAACTTTCACACATAATCATACCATAAGTTGTCCTTTAACGCGGTAGATGCATTCCTGAAAAGTGCCGTGTTAAGCGAAAACAATTTCCCCATAAATAATATGATAAAGGTTCATGAGATACGATATCCGCACACGCGCAGTAAAATAGCAGGACAAATAACTGAGGGTATGCCGCTGCTTTATCATTCCACGTATGGTATCACTGTACCGCTCAGCTGCGCAGCTCAAGAAAGCAGTTTGTTGTTGACCGCTCAGAAACGGCGTTATAACGGTGCACGTTCCGCGTTGTCCAAAAAGTGTTCCCGAATCGAAGAACCTCGGTATAGCGATGACGCTTTGTGTGAACACGCATTAAGCGAGGACTTATCGTACAATTATACACGCACAGTGAAATCTTGGATTGCGAACATAATTCGTTCCGGAAACATGCTCGTAATCCAAAGCACTCGTATATCAAAGCGAATTTCCCCATAAGAAATAATGTAAACTCGGATGATTCGTTCCACAACCCAAAAATACTGTATTCATATAAAAAAGATTAATACAAAATACCCTTTTATATTTTTATTAGTTAAATTTAATATAAAGTAATCAAATGTATTAATTACATTTCAACGTGGCTGGTGTGAGGGAGACGAGAGAGAGGAGAGGCGGAGGAGGGTTATTGTGTAGGTCGACTTTCACTTGCAGTACAGCTACTAAAGAACAGTCACTACATATAGGAATAGGTTTTACCCTTTTAACTGGCACAAAAAACTGACACCTTTATTCAAGGCATCATGTTTGCAATGACCACAACACAAGCAGTCAAAATGCAAACAAAAAAGACAACTCTGATAATAATATGCACTGTCCTTGAATTTAATTGGTCCACACCCGAGACAGCTTTTCTTAGAGCCTAGTCACTACACTTGGACACAAAATTAAAAAATGCTTTACGCACACACACGTGGTCACAACACTATACTATAGTAAACAGTACACACGTGGTCACAACACTATAGTACTGCAGTAAACAGTATACATGTGGTCACAACACTAGTACTGTAGTAAACAGTATACACGTGGTCACAACACTATACTATAGTAAACAGTATACACATGGTCACAACACTATACTATAGTAAACAGTATACACGTGGTCACAACACGATAGTAAAGAGCATACGCTCGCACGGATGTTGACTGTACGAGTGAGGCACGCCAGCTGAGGCCCAGCATGGGAGACGATTACCCACAATCCCGCAGCGAGAGAGAAGAACCATTGGCTCAGTTGTGATCACGTGACGCTCAGCAGACAAAGCATATACTGTACGTACTGCTCGTATTGCAAGACATCGCTCGTTTATCAAATTATTTCTTTAATTTTTTTGCTCTTCTTGCAAAACACTCGCAGACCAAGTTACTCGCAATCCAAAGTTTTACTGTATGTTTGTCTGTGTATACCTCTATCATTGTGTGTGTATATATCTGTATCTCTGTGTATCTATGTGTGTATATAACTATGTATATGATTGTACGTGTGTGTATCTCTGTATTTGTGTTTGCGTGCAGGGCCCCCCAATGGGAGGGATGATGTCCTCGGCTGTAGTGGAGGCACCTCCCAAACTCAACCCCTCCGTCATCCAGGCGGGCCCCACCGTCTACCTCGCGGCACCTGTCAAGGCCACAGCGCCGGTACCACCCTCGCCGATTACTGCGCAAAATCCCGATTGCCAGGTGTAATCCTGATGGAGTAAAACGAGATGTGTGAATATGCACGTGCGTGTCCGGGTAGCGCTGCTTACCGACCCTTGGCTCACGGTCTGCTGCGATACCGACATCACACAGCCCTTCACTCGCCCTCTCGTGTCTCTCACGCCCCCTCCTGTCTTCCTCCTGCCCCCGTGTCGCCCGCAGGAGGAGGGCCACTCTCACATGGCGCAGGAGAAGAAGGAGAGCGGTGTCGCCGCCACCAAGGTGGACGACTCCACCATCATCGGCCCCGTCATGCCGCCCCCCGCACCCCACGAGCCACCCATAGCGGAGACGCACCACCACCACCACCACCACCCCCCCACGGAGCGCGGGGGGGGCGGCGGTGGGGGCGGCGGTGGGGGCGGCGGTGGGGGCGGCGGTGGGGGCGGCGGCGGGGGCGGCGGCGGGGGCGGCGGCGGCAGAGCTGGGACGAGCGAACGAGGGGCGGGGAAGGTGAGAGAGCAGCAGCCTCGCCACGCTCACCACACTCACCACACTCACCACACTCACCACACTCACCCCACTGACCCCGCTCGCCCTACTCACCACGCTCACGCTGTGAAAGCACGGGGTGGTGAGCGAGCCAATCCTGTATTTCTCCACATGCAGGGATCTTCAGGAACTTAAACTAACGACGAATGGCACAGCATTGTTTTGGTGGCGGATCGTGCGTGGAGTCCTCTCTCTCCTCCTCCGCCTCGTGCAGAACTCGGAGTCGTCTGAGGAGAAGCCGGCGAAGAAGAACCGTCCCGAGAAAGTGAAGAAAATCCTGCGATCCGCAGCCGGCATCACCTGGGAGGATGCCAGCCTCATGGACTGGGACCCCAGTACGTACAAACCAAGACACAGATGCCCCGCGCAGCCCCCCACACGCACCGTTGGGAGAAGTGCCGTTAGTGCCCTGTGAAGGCCGGCACAACGCACCTACGAGGCAGGGGTGTGGTACAGCACCACGCCCGGCAGCCTTTGTCTCCCCAATGGCGATGTTTACACACCGCAACAGGTACTCGTTTGAAAGCTGAGTCGATCTAGGGGAGGCCCGGGACCAGTTCAAATATCTCCCGCTGATGTTGGCCAAGAGCAGGAATTTAATGCAGAGAGTTGCACACACAGAGCTGGACTTGTATTCTAGATTTGAAGCTTTCGTGACTGCAAGGATTCATACTCTTTGGTTTTTTTCGCTAAAGTCACGTAGGTAAAATAAAAATAAAATAAAACAATTAAATCACGACGTTTCGGAGGGAACACAAGCTTCCGTCTTCAGGTGGAACAGTCACAGCAAGATCGCTGCATCAAGTAATGCAGCGATCACTTGTATTGTTTTGTGGTGAAAATTGATAAATGACTTCTAGAATGTTGTTTTGTCATGTGGTTATGAACTAAACTCTCAACCCGACCCCCAAGTTTGAAGGTTATTTTGTATTCTCACTACCAGGATTCTCAGACCTAGATCCTAATGTCCTCCACACCGTGCAGCAGCTACAACAGCTGCTGCAACCCGCGATTGTCAATCTTTTCCATTTGTATGCAAATTTTCCTGCTTCGTATTGCCCTAACGGGGAAACTGAGTAACGGTCACGACTGCCGAGAGTAGGAGACGAGCGAGACGCGCGGCACGAACGAGACGAGCGAGACGATCGACCGCGCACGCATCCCGGGCCCTGAAAGGCCGAACTTCAGTTTCGTTTTTAGAGCTGAAATTTTAGTTCGTAAAACAAACTAAAATGTATAAATGTTAATAAATTGAGCCATTATTGCTGGCAACGCCGAGACCGTTAGCTTTCGTCATCGGTGGCTCAAACCCGGATTTGAACCCAGGTTCTCAGTGGTGCTGGCTCAGTGTCTCTGACACGGCCATTATGAAGAGATATCCAGACCCGGGGGTTGAACTTGAATTCAGGAACTCGGCGGCCTACGAGGCGCCAGGTTGTTTTCCCACCGTAGTGGTCGAGCTGTGCCATTGACGTCGCAGGCAATGAACGAATTGAGAAGCAGATGGCAGCGTACCAACTGACGCCACTTGCGATTAGCTCCACCCAGGGCCCTGCTTGGCCCTGAGCCAGATTCGAAACCGCCTATAACCATTAGGGCCCAATGTTGGCAGATGTGGCAGTGAAAAAGAGGTACAGTACATCCTCGTTTTACACAGATCCATTCCTGGAAAGTGCCAGGTAAAGTGATGAATAATGGCGAGATGCGATGTATTACGATGCACAGTGAGATGGCGGGGAGACATAACTGAGGTTACCCCACCACTTGGCCACGCAGCTCAAGAAAGTAGTTAGTCGAAACCGCGTTAAGCGAGGAATTGCGGCATTCGTGTATTTGATACGGCCATGATGAAGCCCTCCGAGCCATTTGGCCACCTCACACCCCTCCCCCGCGTGTCTCCGCTCACAGATGATTTCCGCATCTTCTGCGGAGACCTGGGTAACGAGGTGAGCGACGACACACTGGCGCGCGCGTTTTCGCGCTACCCCACGTTCCTGCGTGCCAAGGTGGTGCGCGACAAGCGCTCGGGCAAGACCAAGGGCTACGGCTTCGTCAGCTTCAAGGACCCCAACGACTTCGTGCGCGCCATGCGCGAGATGAATGGTGCCTGCTCGCTCGCACGCTCGCACGCTCGCACTCAAACGCTCGCTCTTACGCTCGTTCATACTCTCACATGCTCACACTCACACGCTCGCGCCCACAATTTCTCGCTCGCTCACACGGTCTCTTGCACTCACGGCCAATATCGGTGACGAACATCTGAACCAGCCCTTGGCCTCCCCACTTTCGGTCTACGTATCCTTAAATGAGTACCTGGTTTAGAGTGTAAACATAAGCACCAGGGAGGAAGATAAAGACGGCCGAGCGTGGTGTTGGCCACCCACCTCTACGTGTATTGTGCCGGCCTTCATAGGTGCTACTTGCTAACAGCACTTGCCTCAACAGTCTGTTAAAGGCTATATGGGGGATCTTTGCCTCTCCTGCGTCGATGCAGGGAAGTACGTGGGCAGTCGGCCGATCAAGCTGCGCAAGAGCACGTGGCGTGACCGCAACATGGACATCGTGCGCAAGAAGAACAAAGAGAAGAAGAAACTGGGCCTCAAGTGACCCCGCGCGACCTCCCTCGACCTCCCGTGTGACATCCTGTGTGACCTCCACCAACCTGTGACACCGCCAAAACAATAGCAGATTCAACACTTTGAAGTTATACAGCATCTAAATGTAATTGCACCAATCACAACTACTTGGCTCCAGGGGCAGCCAGGGCAGATACAGCACCAGCGAGTCCCAGGGCAGCCCTGGGGAGTCGGTGCAATAAAAGCCCCCCACAGCTGGGCCTGACCAAGCCTCAAGTAAAATGATGGTGCTGTGATTGAGTACCCCTGTGAGAGAGTGGCGGTACGAATGAGCGGCCCTGTGAGAGAGCAGCGCTGGGAGCAAGTTGTTATGTGAGTGAGCGACATGATGGTTGCTGTCCGATGAGACCAGGTGGAGGCTACTGCATCTGGTGTGATCGACCTCGCCCCCATGAACTCTGAGCCCAAGCACCGGCTCCGAGGAGGAGGGGGACCTCCTTGCTGTCACCGTTTTGTTTTTGGCAAGGGAACCGGTTTCGATGCTTGAATGTTTTGGTCGTGAAAGAAGGTCGCCACCTCCCGACGTTTTACCACGTGGGGATGTATCCTGGGAAGTTCATGAAAAATCTCTCGCAGGACCAGCAGAGCAGAGCTACTTGTAAATACTGTACGCCGTCTTGAGTAGCGTAGTAGTATTATTTTTTTCTAATTCCGCAATGACAATTTCGCGACTTTTAATAAACACGGTGTATTACACGCGCATGTTTCATGATTCGGACACAGTCCCATCTAAACAATTCTATCGCTCAGCACTGGTGCCAAATGTCAGCCGGGTCTATTTTCTTACCTGGCATTCCACATCTCGTATACCTCGAGTTTGGCTGTTCCTACTCATCAAGTGTAACCGACTGTCTACCAGCGACCCGAAAAATATATTTGGTGAGAAACGAAACTGTAGAAAGTGACTGAAAGACTGACACGGACTCCCTTCGACTCGCATGGAGGTCCATAGATTTAGAGACCCATAGGTGCAACAGAGAACTACTGTATAGGCTTATTCGGGGATCAACTTCAGCTGGGGTCTCTTTGGGTCGGCGACCCGGAATATATTAGTGCACCTGGTATACCGCGTCCAGTGTAGCTGTCGTTATGGGCCCTGGTTACAAGTCACGTGCTGCTGCTGCTCGCTGGCAGGGACCCAGACAATATCGGGTGAGAAATTAAGCCCCGAGTCACATGTCGGGTGTCGCGGTTCAACCTGAGTTTGTGTTTACGTCGTGGTGCAGGTATCGCCTCTAGTGGCTGCACGGGTCGCATGAACCAATGTCGCGCAACACGAATGTGAAACAATCGATGGTCGTGGCGCGGTTTAACGCACGTCCGAGAATCGACGTGACGTGGCGCGATGACCCCTCCCCGCCCGTTGTATCTTGAATCGTGAATTCTCGACAGCTCTTACCCCAATCGCACTGTTGGCGTCGTTACGGCGCGACAAACCCCGTTGGGAAATCTCGAGAGAGCAGCGCGAGCCGCCTCCGTGTTGGAAAACGGCCCAAGGAAGCAGATATCAGCTGCCCGTTCAGATCGTCCATTCTTCAACTGCGCCACGGTGGCGATATGCTGACTCCCACGCCTGGTATGCAGGAGGTTGTGGGTTTGATCCCAACCCTGTCGCCTATACATTTGGAATTTGTTCTCCCCTTGATCGCGGGGATTTTCCCTCCACATTCTTCGAGCAGTGGTTCTTGACCTGGGGTGCACGCACCCCCTGGGGATGCGAGATGCCCTTTCTGGGGGTGCGAGACCTGGCCAGATTTTTCTTTAGAAGGTAAATCGAAAACGAATTAAGCAAGGGCACGTAAGTACAACTACTTGTTTAATCAAAGCTATATGTGTATTCACAGTTTACTTTTTTAACGAATGAGAACAAAAGGGGTGCATGCTGAAGTACAGGTTAAGAACTGCATTATTTTATTTTGCTGCTATAAATGTCCACACGATAAGCCACTTCGTTGAGCTCTCATTTGTGGCCATATCGCTTCTGAAAAAGCTATGTAGCTCAGTGGGCCTTACCTGATAAAATACAAAGTTTAAAAATAGTTTTGAGTTTTAACTGATTTCTGGTCCACACGGTAGATTTCAGCACTTCCCACCCACTTGGGAGAGTAATAACCGCCGCGTGACGGTCACTCCGATAAATTAATTCTCAGGGTTGGACAACATCGAAAACAAGTGCAGAACAAGCTGTAATGGGGGGGGGGGGGGTTCGTGTCGAGTCGTTCGTGAGCGGGCTAAAGGCTTCGCCGAGTCTGATCGCCTACCAGGGGGACCTCGGCGGCGCCGGCTCGGCGCCCTCACCCCTTAAGACACCCGGCGGCGCGCGTCGCCTCTGCTGATTTTGTTGTTGCGACGACGGTGGCGGGAGCGTCATGCCGGGTGGTCGTAGTCGAGATTCTCCTCCCACAGCCGCCGCTCTTCGGGTTTTATTGTTTTTCTGAAGCGCGACTTTCGCGGATTTTCCGTGACGTCGGGCGGTGGGGAAAACCCGGCACGCCAGCCTCGTTGCGCCACGGAAGCCGTTTCCGCTGAATGTTAATTAACCGATGCCACATTGCGGCAACAGCAGCAGCTGCCCCCTCTCCTCAGGCTACTCCCATGGATGGAGGGGCGAGTAACTGGGACGCGGAGTCGCTGGTTAGCAGGGGCAGTTCTCCCCCGAGTCTAACCCACTGGACAAGGCTACCTCCCTCGCCCCCCCACGGCTGCCCGTGTTCAGATCTCCTCGGCCTTCCCCTCTATAGTGCTCAGAGCTGTCACTGTTGAGAACAGTAAGCCTGGCCCTCATCAAACACATACAGACAAATATCCCCCGTATAGCCTTTAACAGACTTGGGACAAGTGGTATTTGCAAGCACCAACGATGGAGTGAGTTTGGAACCATTGGGCCAACGTTCCATGTTCCCCGAAAGCGGGGAAACCCTTCCGAACATCCACTTGTCCAGGGACTAAATAAACAAAGCAGCAGCAGCACGGCGACTGCCCGGTGATTGATATATGACAGCCTCGATATCGTTGCGCGAAATGTCGGACAACTTGCCGAACAACAACACTGCCGTCGCGGTGCAAGCACATCGGAGAGGTTGAGTCAGCTGAGAACATGCAGCAGCTGCTCATGCAGCAGCTTATCCTGCAGCTCGCTATTTACAGAGCACGTGGGCCGTGCCTCGAAACTGGAGGTGGTGGCGATGCGTTGAGCGAATTCTGTACATAATTACTGAACTGTATTTTTGTTGACGGAATAAAGGCGAGAGTCTTGCACTTTCGGGGTTAACGCGAGGTCAACATAGCCCCTGTGAATACATTTCACTCGTTAACACTACAAAGACGTTGGGCAAACTCCTGTTAGCGAGCACCTATGAAGGCCGACACGGCACACAAGGGGGTGGAGGGTGGGTGGCCAGCACCACACCCGGCCGCCTTTGTCTCCCAAGTGACGATGTTTACACACCGCACCAGGTACTCATTTAAGGCCGAGTCGATCTTGGGGAGGCCCAGGACCGGTTCAGATAATCGTCACTCGTGTTAATCGTTAACGATAATCGAGCTCGGGTCTCTGCCGGATTCGTAGCGCAGCGCACTAACCGCTGCGCCACCGCCTCCCACAAAAACAAGACATCGCACACACGCATGAACACTGGACCTCATTCACCTCCCACGTGGCTCACGTGTTAGGTGAATGAGGTCCAGTGACTCACTCGGTGAATACCCTGGCCGTGCTCGCTCGCACGCACGCACGGTCACACCGTCGCTCAGACGCGCAGCAGCAGCGCTGAAGGCATTCCGGGAAAGGCTCGCGTCCGGGGCGTTTCTCGGTTGGACTATCTCCACCCTGGGCCGTGACGCCACGGCTCCACCACGGCGTGCATGTGTAGCAGCCCTTGCGCCAGTCCCCTCCTGGATGAGCAGCCCCGTGACGCCGCTCCCAAGAGCGGATCCCCCGCGCTGTGCGCTGGCTCGGCCCCCGGAGTTTCCGTCATCCTCGTCCCTCCGCGTGAGAGAGGTTCCGATGCAGGCTCGGCTCTCCGGGGTTCGAGCCGACGGATAGATCCCCTCGACGGGGGTCCCTCCTCCCTCCGTCTGGGTCCGCGTGGGGCCCCGCGCCTCTTTGGAGCCATGGGTCGGCCGCGATGCCAGGATCACGAGTTCCCCAGGGGCAGCGTCTGCGTCTCCTGCAGCAGCGCGGTGCCACTCACGCCCGGTACGAGGGGACCACGTCCACTCTGACCCCCCACCCCTCTCTCCCTGACCCCCACTCTCCCGTGTCCTGGTGTTTTCCCAGGTACCCCTCCCCCTCTTTTCCCAAGTCCCATGTTTTCTACCTCTGATGTACAGCGCTGAGTCTGCTCATTTGAAAGGCGCTTTAGAAAAAAAAAGTTTTATTATTATTACTACTACCACCACCAGCACCCAGAACCCCCGTGCCCACTACTACTCTCGGGTGCCCCTCCGACTCCAGAACTGTATTCCCACATCTATCGCTCCACCGTCATCAGCAGCAGCAGCAGCAGAATGACCTCATGCCGGCTCCGGTGAGTTGGGTGTTACACTCATTGTGGAGCGGCACGGTAAGTTCACTCAAACAGTGGCCACGTGTGTCGTAGGCACACCAAGTTGTGCAGAGTTGTGCGTGTGTGGGGAGCGGTGGGGCAGCGGTTAGTGCGCTGCGCTACGAACCGGGCGACCCGAGTTCGAATCGGCCACCAACATCAGCGACGATTTTATATTCGTAGCTGGAGGGGTGTGTAAACATCACCACTAGGAAGACAAAGGCTGCCGGGCGTGGTGCTGGCCAATCACACCCTCGTGTGCCGTACCGGACTTCATATGTGCTCGCTAAAAGCACTTGCCCTAACAGTCTGTTAAGGGCTATACGGGGGATCTTTGTGTGGGTGGGTAATTATAGAAGGCGGGCCGGGGTGAAAATAATTAAACAGGCAGATGGGAGTGCTGTAGTTGGAACGCTCTACTTTAACATCTCCCTGGAAAATCTCGTTTCCTAGGGTGTGGATGGACACTTCACCTCGGACACACGTTTGACATCTACCGTATACCTTGAGTGTAATCATGTGTCTAAAGACGCACGTTTGTGACCAGTGTTCACGACCTCCGGCTAAACCCGTATGGATGGATAACATATGTTGAACATTCACTGAAACATGTTAAACGGGATCATCTGCGGAGCAAATCAAATAAACTCAACATTCGAAGAGACAGGAACATTCGAAGAGACAGGCTTCGAGAACACGCGCAGGTGAATGCAGAGTGCTGAGCCGTCAGTGGGGCTTACGCCTGACGCGTCACGGCTACAAAGGATGGTGGCCGATCACGGAGACTCATTACGGAGAGGCACCGAGGATCGCGTCCGAGATGACGTCCACCGGGGAGATGGAGCGATGGATTAATCTCGTGTGTAGAGCAAGTCGGGGAGGAGGCGTTCATCCAGCAGTGGAATGACCAGAAGGGCTTCCCGCACACCCTTCCCTTGTCCTGGACCCCGTTTCGTGACCCCCCCCTACCCCCCCCCCCCCTGCAGGGTTCGGCTACACGAAACACTGTGGGCACGCCTCTCCCGAGGGGGGGCCCCCTGCGAAGCGTTGCGGCCTGGGGGAGTTCACGGGGGGGCTGGGGCTGTGCGAGCCGTGCTCGCGTTGCGGGGGCCTCGAGCGAGTCGCCGAGGGCTGCACCCCCGCCAAGAACACGCGGTGCTGCCCCGAGGGGTGCGTGACGGGTAGGGTGAGGGGGTGGGGGTGACGGGGGGGGGGGTGGGGGTGACGGGGGGGGGGGGGGGGGCGGGGGGGGGGGACGTCTCCACTCGTTCAGTGAACTTCCTGCCGTGACCTTGGCTTCGTTATGTTGATGATGCTAATGCTGGTGACTTTAATGTCGATGTTGGTGATGTTATTGTCGATGACGATGCAGGAAGGAGGCGCACCTCGGCTCGTGCCGCAGTTTGTGCTGCGACTGCTCCCGGATCCGGGGGGCCGAGGGGGGCTCGGGGCGGGACCCCGAGTGCGTGGGGAGGGAGCGCTTCCCGTTCCACTGCCACTACAGCAAGGCGGCCACGTGCCGGGTGCTGTCCGACACCCCCAGGCTCCCCATGACCCCCACGGTCCTCACGCTTGGTCGCATCACACGGATAATCGAGGTCCCCCCTCTTCCTCCATCTCCACCCAGCCCGGGTCTTCAGGGAGCAGCAGCAGCAGGTTTGCGCCTACAGGAAGATGACGAGGTGGTGATGCTGACCCAGACTGTGCCCTCCGCCCAAAGCCGACTCTGACTCTTGCTGCTGACACGACCCTCGACTCGACCCTGAACACTCAGCACAGCCGACGTGACGCTCCAATCCCGCCCGTCACTGCTCACGTCGGCCTCGCCCTAGCTCCGAACCCTGATCCCAACCTCAACCCCAACCGCATCCCTAACCCTATGCCCGGCTGATAATCTGAACCCTATCTCTAACCCCCATCATTATCACTAACCCTGACCTCTATCCCACAATCTGACCCTTATCCCTCACCGCGACCCCCTGCCCCGCACTGTGACCCCGTGCTAGGTGGCTCCGAGGCGATGCTCCTCTTGGCGAGTCTGGCTCTCTCGTCAATGCTCCTCATGCTCCTCGTGCTGCTCGCCACGCGGGGCCCTCGCTGCTGGAGGGGCCGCCCGCCCAACGGGGCCCGTGGGGCCCAGGACACCCGGGGGCAGGGATCCCTGGAATCGCAGAGAGGGGACCTGAAACCCCAGGGGGAAGCGTCTGCAGGGGACCAGAACCCCATGCTGGACACCCATACCCAGCTCCGAGAAGGTGAGGAACGCAGGAAAGAGAGCACAACAACAGCAAGCGCCATGGTGCTTGTGCCAGGCTAGGTGCCCCTTGGGGCCGCGTGAAGTGTCGAACGCCTGCTGGCAGGAGATCACGGGACAGACCCAGGTGCCGTGGGTTAACTGACTGAGATGACTGGCAGATGCACCATCTGAGCTCTCCACTGTGCCAGCTCGCTATGTTTTATCCGCCCGGCGCTCCGCTAGTTGTTGTGAGCGTCACTCGTCTACCCTCGACTATTGTTGGAGGTCAACTGCCTCCCACTACTCAGTAGCGTCCTTCACGAACTTCTTCCACAGAGGCCAATCTTGATACCGTTGGTACTAGTCATCGACAAGTCCACTCAGATGCATATCCCCCCTTAGGACATAAGCCCATCTCTTTCCAGCCCGTGCCGCACGCGTCTAGCCGCCTCTACTGCTTGGACATGCGCTGGCTGGACATGCTGGCTGCATGACCCAACCAATCTTGCCTGTCAGAGGAGCTCACTGATGGCACTGTGTCCAAATCTTTCAAAGATCTATAAGCTTTTCGCACAATCCAGTCCGGTTGAACCCAGGATGGATGCCGAGAAAGCCAGCCTGAATGTTTCAAAATGGCGCAGATGTTTCTTTAGAGGGCTCCACGTTTTGCAAGCGTAGAGATGAGCGGGCATGACTGTGGCCAAGAGGACCTGGAGCTCCGTATGGAGCGGAAAGCCAGGTAGCTGCTTCGACACAGCGTTACGCAGGCGGTGAAACGATGCCGCCCAACTGATAGATTAGCACACTGCGCAGGTACGGGAACGCCTCTCCTCTCTCCACAACTACTCCATCACTCATGGGGAATTGAGGTCGTGGAATATTTGATTAAATAAAATACGCAAGCGCTCTTCGTACTTGCTCAACAGATGGTACAACAGGGGTTGGCAACTTCCTTGAGGGACAGAGTACACGTGTGTAGACACACACACGTGTGTAGACACACACACGTGTGTGTGTGTAGACACACACACGTGTGTGTGTGTAGACACACACACGTGTGTGTAGACACACACACGTGTGTAGACACACACACGTGTGTGTGTAGACACACACACACGTGTGTAGACACACACACGTGTGTGTGTAGACACACACACACGTGTGTGTAGACACACACACGTGTGTAGACACACACACGTGTGTAGACACACGTGCTTGATATACCTAGGAACACACACACACACATGTACACGCACTTGTGCACTTGTACACGCACCTGTACACGTCCATATTTGTCTCCCCAGTGCCGTCGATTGCACACTGCACGAGGTGCACACACGTGGACACACGTGGACACACGTGAACAGGTCCCGTGTCCTCCCCCCCCCCCCCCGCAGAGTCTCCTCAGCGGACCCGGGAACAGGAGCTGACAGAGCGAATACACAGTGAGAGATGAACACTCATCAGCCGTGCTCTATCCACTGTTACACCAACACTCATCAGCCGTGATCTATCCACTGTTACACCAACACTCATCAGCCGTGCTCTATCCACTGTTACACCAACACTCATCAGCCGTGCTCTATCCACTGTTACACCAACACTCATCAGCCGTGACCTATCCACTGCTACACCAACACTCATCAGCCATGATCTATCCACTGTTAAACCAACACTCATCAGCCGTGATCTATTTACTGTTACACCAACACTCATCAGCCGTGATCTATTCACTACTACACCAACACTCATCAGCCGTGATCTATTCACTACTACACCAACACTCATCAGCCGTGATCTATTCACTACTACACCAACACTCATCAGCCGTGATCTATCCACTGTTACACCAACACTCATCAGCCATGCTCTATCCACTGTTACACCAATACTCATCAGCCGTGATCTATCCACTGTTACACCAATACTCATCAGCCGTGATCTATCCACTGCTACACCAACACTCATCAGCCGTGCTCTATCCACTGTTACACCAACACTCATCAGCCGTGATCTATCCACTACTACACCAACACTCATCAGCCGTGATCTATCCACTGTTACACCAACACTCATCAGCCGTGATCTATTTACTGTTACACCAACACTCATCAGCCGTGATCTATCCACTGTTACACCAATACTCATCAGCCGTGCTCTATCCACTGTTACACCAACACTCATCAGCCATGATCTATCCACTGTTACACCAACACTCATCAGCCGTGCTCTATCCACTGTTACACCAATACTCATCAGCCGTGCTCTATCCACTGTTACACCAACACTCATCAGCCGTGATCTATTCACTACTGCACCAACACTCATCAGCCGTGATCTATCCACTGCTACACCAACACTCATCAGCCGTGATCTATTTACTGTTACACCAACACTCATCAGCCGTGATCTATTTACTGTTACACCAACACTCATCAGCCGTGATCTATTTACTGTTACACCAACACTCATCAGCCGTGATCTATCCACTGCTACACCAACACTCATCAGCCGTGATCTATCCACTGTTACACCAACACTCATCAGCCGTGATCTATCCACTGCTACACCAACACTCATCAGGCATAATCTATCCACTGTTAAACCAACACTCATCAGCCGTGATCTAACCACTGTTACACCAACACTCATCAGCCGTGATCTATCCACTGTTACACCAACACTCATCAGCCGTGATCTATCCACTGCTACACCAACACTCATCAGCCGTGATCTATTTACTGTTACACCAACACTCATCAGCCGTGATCTATCCACTGTTACACCAACACTCATAAGCCGTGATCTATCCACTGTTACACCAACACTCATCAGCCGTGATCTATCCACTGTTACACCAACACTCATCAGCCGTGCTCTATCCACTGTTACACCAACACTCATCAGCCGTGCTCTATCCACTGTTACACCAACACTCATCAGCCGTGATCTATCCACTGTTACACCAACACTCATCAGCCGTGCTCTATCCACTGTTACACCAACACTCATCAGCCGTGATCTATCCACTGTTACACTAACACTCATCAGCCGTGATATAGTCACTACTACACCAACACTCATCAGCCGTGATTTATCCACTGCTGCACGAACGCCTCCCCAAACCGTCCCCGTCTCTCGCGATGCCGTGCTCCATCGCGCCACCACCTCTCCCGCTCATCTTCTTTGTCTCTTCTCATCTCCAGTCACTTCCGCCCCACCACCTCTTCTGTACACCAAAGACAAAGATGCCCCGTATAGCCTTACATACCTTTGGGGCAAGTGCTGTTAGCGAGCACATAAGGCTGGCACGAGGGGGTGGGTGGCCAGTATCACGCCCGACCGCCTTTGTCCCCCTAATGGCGATGTTTACACACCGCACCAGGTACTCACTTTGTGGCTGAGTCGACCTAAGGGGAGGCCCAGGACCAGTACAGACAATCGTCACCGGTGTTGGCCGTGAGCGGGAATCGAACTCGGGTCGCCACGGCTCCCCACCACCACCACCACGCCTCCCTTTCCACTAATTTCCTCTAAACACTTAATCATCGCCACCTCCTCTTAACGTCCCCTCCTCCTCGTCCACCTCGCCAGCCTCCCCGTGGTTCTCACTCCCGCTGGAGCGCCTGCTGGACGCGCTGGACGTGTGCGACCGCCTCTCCCAGCTGCTGGACCCGGAGCAGCTCCCGCTCGCCTCCGCGCGCCACCTCGCGTCGCGCTGCGGCCTCGAGCGCCGCGAGGTCGCCGCCCTTGCGGCGCGCGGCGTCAGCCTCACCCGGGCCGCCCTCGAGGTCACGGCGGCCCGCGACCCCGGGGTCACCGTGGGCAGCCTCCTAGAGTCCCTGCTCCGCATGGACCGGGCGGACGCCCTGCAGGTCGTGTTGGGCGCCGCGCCACCGCCGCGCCACGGCGCCGGCTTGGGATTCGGCGCGGATTTGAGCGCCGCCGCCAACACCGGCAACGGCGGCGGCGGCGGCGGCAGCAGCGGCGACACTGGGACTAGCGGCACCAGCAGCAGCAGCATGCAATGCGGGTGTAGCGTCCACGTGAACGGGAGCGCGTACAGCAATGGCTATGCACGCGCCAAGGGGAGTGTGACGAGCGGTGCGGCGCACACCGTGAACGGGAGAGCGGCGCTCCCCGACGAGACGACTCGCCCCTCGAATGGATGCGCGGCGCACACCTGCGTGTGACCCACCCCACTCACTCACCCCACCCACCCTTGCTGACACACTCGGCGCGTCTCCCCGTAAATGCCTCTAACACCGCGAGACGTCGTCACGTGTTTGGCTGTGTCGGGTGGTGGAGGGTTCTTAGCGGTACGCACGGCTTTGGCCAGATCGTTCCGTCCTGGCCACCCTACCCCACCAAAAAACTATGAATCGTTATAAAGTTGTAAATATCCTTAATTTTGAAGGGGGAGGGGGGGGGGGGCTGGGTTAGGTGACTGTCGGTGCGTTAATGCGGCCCAAACGGATACGGGTAAACCACCCCCCCCCCCGCCACCCACGATATGTTGTGTTCAACATTATCTGGACGTTGGTAATAAAGGTCAGCGACAAGCAGAAGACATTCTCGTGTTTGTAATCATTGTGCGTTACCTGCAATGAGGCATACCAAAGACAACGCGAACGCTGACAGTACAGCACGAAGTGAGAATTGCGCAAATAAGTTAATGGATCCGAGGTGCACGCGTGGCCCCGCACCGAGAGGCAGGAAGAGCAGGCACGTTGAGTAAGTAGAGAGCTCACGAGTAGGAGACATTGCGCTGAAGACGATGGCTGCTGGCCAAGACCAACGACGGAGCGACAGCCGAAGGAGGAGAACGTCCTCGTGGCGGCGTCAGTCGTGGAGGTGCAGCGGTGACCTCAATTCGTGTGTGGGAACAAAGAATTGTTTTCCACCTCCGGACCGTGAGAGAGATTGCCTGGGGAGGACTTAAGCCAGCAGTGGATAAGGGCGTGTCCTTGGCATGATGATGCAGCACAAGTATTAGGCTCGAGTAAAGCATCCGGTGCGCAGGAAGGTCAAGGAGACCGCAGATTGGGCGACCGCAAAGTGTATTTGTAATCTCCATCCGGCCAATATGCAGATATCACTGTCCGCTCTACATGCCGACTGATAACGCCCAATGTCAACGTCGGTTATACATGTTATATACTGTTTATGTTTTTTTTATCTTTACTACAACATATTGTATGGATATAATTTTAACTTGAAAATGCGTGGAGTGGTGGTACAGTGGTTAGTGCACTGCGCTCTGAACCGATTCCCGGCCACGGCCAAGATCAGTAGCACGGATTGAGATCAGAACCTGCTCATGCTCTCCCCCACCCACTTCACCGATCCCGACTGACCAGCGTGGGGAAGTATGGTCAAACAAAAACCCATGACCGGCACGGCGTAGAAAGGCCTTCAATGAGCAGTGGATATTATTAGTTATAAGAGCAATGCGGCCAATATAATGACGAGTTTAATCAGTGCGTCCTGCCTGCTGTGACACGTGGCTCAGAAAACGCGTGGTCCTTCACGGGAAATGTGGAGGCTAAAAAACCCGCAAAGTGCGTAAAGAAGCGTGGGCAGAGCCACGCCTGGACTGCCCGTCGAGACGGACGCAACGCGCAAGGGCCACGTGGGGATGAGAGCGCACACGCCGGTGTCTCAGGGCGAGCCTTGGCCACGGGGGGGGGGTGGTCGCCCATGGTCACGGGTGGTAGCGGAGGGGGGAAGTCCAACGCAAACCGAGAGGCCGCCTTCACCCACAATGCCGATCTATGGCGAGAGGTGGCGCCTGCCGGGCCATGGATGTGGTGGTATGCCAGGGGCGGCCATTGCCACCCCGGGTCCTCGTGACGACCTCGCGCCGCGTGGGGTCGCCCCCGTCCCACCGCCCCCGCCCCGCCGCCCCCGCCCCGCCCCACCGCCCCCGCCCCGCCGCCCCCGCCATGACGTCACCGGCAGCCGCAACGCTCCCGCGCCGTCAGCTCAGCTGATCGCTCAGCTGACTGATCGCAGCCGTCTTTGTCTTCCCGGCCGGGACAGGCCCCCTCCCCTGCCCCCCCCCGGGAGGCAGAGGGAGTGCCCCGTGCCCCCGCGCAGGGAGAGAGGAGGCCCCGGCGGCTCCATGAACGCGACTCCCCCGACCCCGCAGGTACGGGCCCCCCACTCTTACTTCCGCGTCCCATACATGGGGGGGAGGGTAGCCGGGGGAGGGTTAAGTTGGTGGGGGGGCGGCATTGATGGTGGAGGGGGTACGGGGTGGGTGGCATGGGTCACGCGTACACAACAGCCATATCCGCGTACATCTGTCTCTCTCCGTGTCTCCCTCCCTGTCTCCGTGTCTCCCTCCCTGTCCCCGTGTCTCCCTCCCTGTCCCCGTGTCTCCCTCCCTGTCCCCGTGTCTCCCTCCCTGTCCCGTGTCTCCCTCCCTGTCTCCGTGTCTCCCTCCCTGTCCCCGTGTCTCCCTCCCTGTCCCCGTGTCTCCCTGTCTCCGTGTCTCCCTCCCTGTCTCCGTGTCTCCCTCCCTGTCCCCGTGTCTCCCTCCCTGTCTCCGTATCTCCCTCCCTGTCTCCGTGTCTCCCTCCCTGTCCCCGTGTCTCCCTCCCTGTCCCCGTGTCTCCCTGTCTCCGTGTCTCCCTCCCTGTCTCCGTGTCTCCCTCCCTGTCTCCGTGTCTCCCTCCCTGTCCCCGTGTGTCCCTCCCTGTCCCCGTGTCTCCCTGTCTCCGTGTCTCCCTCCCTGTCTCCGTGTCTCCCTCCCTGTCCCCGTGTCTCCCTCCCTGTTTCCGTATCTCCCTCCCTGTCTCCGTGTCTCCCTCCCTGTCCCCGTGTCTCCCTCCCTGTCCCCGTGTCTCCCTGTCTCCGTGTCTCCCTCCCTGTCTCCGTGTCTCCCTCCCTGTCCCCGTGTCTCCCTCCCTGTCTCCGTGTCTCCCTCCTTGTCTCCGTGTCTCCCTCCCTGCCTCCGTGTCTCCCTCCCTGTCTCCGTGTCTCCCTCCCTGTCCCCGTGTCTCCCTCCCTGTCCCCGTGTCTCCCTCCCTGTCTCCGTGTCTCCCTACCTGTCTCCCTCCCTGTTCCCGTGTCTCCCTCTCTGTCTCCGTGTCTCCCTGACAGCAGAGGGGAGTACGAGGGGGGGGGGGGTTGTGTGGCGGAGCCGGTTACATGCCAGTTCTGGACCTTCCCCGGGTCGACTCAGCCTTAAATTAGTAACCGGCCTGGTCTATAAACAGCACTGGGCGTGCACGGTGCAGTGTGGAGACATCATCACCGTGGAGACATCATCACTGGGTAGACATCATCACTGGGTAGACATCATCACTGTGGAGACATCATCACTGGGTAGACATCATCACTGTGGAGACATCATCACTGTGGAGACATCATCACCGTGGAGACATCATCACCGTGGAGACATCATCACTGGGTAGACATCATCACTGTGGAGACATCATCACTGGGTAGACATCATCACTGGGTAGACATCATCACTGTGGAGACATCATCACTGGGTAGACATCATCACTGGGTAGACATCATCACTGGATAGACATCATCACTGTGGAGACATCATCACCATGGAGACATCACTGGGTAGACATCATCACTGTGGAGACATCATCACTGGGTAGACATCATCACTGGGTAGACATCACTGTGGAGACATCATCACTGTGGAGACATCATCACCGTGGAGACATCATCACTGGGTAGACATCATCACTGTGGAGACATCATCACTGGGTAGACATCATCACTGGGTAGACATCATCACTGGGTAGACATCATCACCGTGGAGACATCATCACCGTGGAGACATCATCACTGTGGAGACATCATCACTGTGGAGACATCATCACTGTGGAGACATCATCACCGTGGAGACATCATCACTGTGGAGACATCATCACTGGGTAGACATCATCACTGTGGAGACATCATCACTGGGTAGACATCATCACTGGGTAGACATCATCACTGGGTAGACATCATCACTGTGGAGACATCATCACTGTGGAGACATCATCACTGGGTAGACATCATCACTGGGTAGACATCATCACCATGGAGACATCACTGGGTAGACATCATCACTGTGGAGACATCATCACTGTGGAGACATCATCACTGGGTAGACATCATCACTGTGGAGACATCATCACCGTGGAGACATCATCACTGTGGTGACATCATCACTGGGTAGACATCATCACTGTGGAGACATCATCACTGTGGAGACATCATCACTGGGTAGACATCATCACCGTGGAGACATCATCACTGTGGTGACATCATCACTGTGGAGACATCATCACTGTGGAGACATCATCACTGTGGAGACATCATCACTGTGGAGACATCATCACTGTGGAGACATCATCACTGGGTAGACATCATCACTGTGGAGACATCATCACTGTGGATACATCATCACTGGGTAGACATCATCACTGGGTAGACATCATCACCGTGGAGACATCATCACTGTGGAGACATCATCACCGTGGAGACATCATCACTGTGGAGACATCATCACTGGGTAGACATCATCACTGTGGAGACATCATCACTGAGTAGACATCATCACTGGGTAGACATCATCACTGTGGAGACATCATCACCATGGAGACATCATCACCGTGGAGACATCATCACTGTGGTGACATCATCACTGTGGAGACATCATCACTGTGGAGACATCATCACCGTGGAGACATCATCACCGTGGAGACATCATCACTGTGGAGACATCATCACCGTGGAGACATCATCACCGTGGAGACATCATCACTGGGTAGACATCATCACTGGGTAGACATCATCACTGGGTAGACATCATCACTGTGGAGACATCATCACCGTGGAGACATCATCACTGTGGAGACATCATCACTGTGGAGACATCATCACTGGGTAGACATCATCACCATGGAGACATCATCACCGTGGAGACATCATCACTGTGGAGACATCATCACTGTGGTGACATCATCACTGTGGAGACATCATCACTGGGTAGACATCATCACTGGGTAGACATCATCACTGTGGTGACATCATCACTGTGGTGACATCATCACTGGGTAGACATCATCACTGGGTAGACATCATCACTGTGGTGACATCATCACTGTGGTGACATCATCACTGGGTAGACATCATCACCGTGGAGACATCATCACTGTGGTGACATCATCACTGTGGAGACATCATCACTGTGGAGACATCATCACTGTGGAGACATCATCACTGGGTAGACATCATCACTGGGTAGACATCATCACCGTGGAGACATCATCACCGTGGAGACATCATCACCGTGGAGACATCATCACTGGGTAGACATCATCACTGGGGAGACAAATGCGCCTGGCGTGGTGCTGGCCTCGCCGGCCTTAATAGGTGCTCGCTAACAGCACTTCTCCCAACTGTCTGCTCTGGCTATAGGGGGGATTTTTGCGCTTCCTTGTGCCTCTGCTCCACTGCGTCATGGTTGGTGTTTGTCTCCGCGAGTCCCATGGCGTGTTCCTGGCTCTTTCCAGGAGGCGGGCTGGGGGTGATGGTCTCGCCGG